CTGAGGGACAGATTTAATCTGCACTTGGAGATTGAGGAATTAATCAAGAACAATAACGTGGGTTAAGAGGAGGTCATGTCCGACCAACTTGATTGAATTGTTCTAAGAGGTAACCAGGTGTATAGGTGAAGGCAATATTTTTCATGTAGTCTACTTGGACTTCAGCAAAGCTTTTGATAAGGTCCTTCATGGGAAATTGATATTAAAGGTAAGAGGCCATGGAATCCAAGGAAATTTGGCAAATTGGATCCACAATTGACTGAGTGGCAGGAAACAGAGAGTGATGGTTGACGGATGTCTTTTTATGACTGGGGAAGCCTGTATCCAGTGAGGTTGCACAGGAATCAATGTTGGCGTCCTTGCTGTTTGTGATATAAATAAATGATTTAGACTTGAAAGTAGGATGAACAGTAGGACCCTGGGAAGCACCAAGGATCAGAGGGACCTTGGTGTGCATGTCTATTGGTCTCTTAAGGTAGTGTAAAGGTACCTTAAAGCAGGTAAAGTGATTAAGGAGGCATACAGGACACTTGTCTTTATTAGTCAAAGCATAGAGTTTAAAAGCAGGGGAGATTATATTGGAAATGTATAAAAGGTTGGTTAGGCCAAAGTTGGAATATTGTGCGCAGTTCTAGAATCCACATTGGAGGAAGGATATAAATAGTGCTGGAGAGACACCAGAGGAGATTTATCAGGATGTTGCCTGGGCTGGAGAGTTTAAATTATGAAGAGAGATTGGATGGACTGGAGCTGTTTTCCTTGGAGCAGAAGAGACAGAGAGGGGACTTGACTGGGATGAGCAAAATTATGAGAGGTACAAATAAGGTAAACAGAAGGAATGTTTCTCCTTGGTGAAGGGAACGATGACCAGTGGGCACAGATTTAAGTTCAGGGCCAGGAGGTTCAGAGCGGATGTAAAGTCTTTTTTCACCCCGAGGGAATCTAGAACTCCCTGCCTGCAGGAGTGGTACAGTCACAAACCCTCATAACATTTAAGAAGTATTTAGATGTGCAGTTGTGATGCCAAGGCATACAAGCTATAAGCCAAGTACTGGAAAATGGGATTAGAATAGTTGGGTGGTTGTTTTTGATCAGAACACACTAAATGGGCTGAATAGCCTTTTTCTGTGCTGTAGACTTCTTTGACTATGACTGTAAGTGCAGGTCCTAAAAATAATAAAAATCCAGAAGTAAAAATACTGGCACCAGTCTAAGTGTCCATAAAACAGAATAAATATCCATTGCCTAACATTTTATTTTCCCACTTTTAAAGATTTTGTTTCATGCAGTGTCACACAGGTCAATGAACATAATATAAGATATTCTCCTGAACAAAAACTGAAAGAACTGTGGATGCTGTAAATCAGAAACAAAAACAGAAGTTGCTGGAAAAGCTCAGCAGGTCTGGCAGCATCTGTGAAGAAAAAAAATTCAGAGTTAACGTTTCAGGTCTGGTGACCCTTCCTCAGAACTGGATATTCTCCTGATCGGTTCAGAAAAATTCTAGTTTGCTGTAAAAACAAATGGAGATATAACAATGTTCATCATTTTGCCTAATTATGTTCTCTTGTGAAGTTTTTTTGAAAAGATTCTCATAAATCCAGACCAAGTTATTTCCATTTCTGACACCCTTTCAGGCATTTAGCAACAAACTAGAAAAGGTTTTTTTGAATGAAGTGTACTTTCAGTAAATTGTATGCAGCCATTAGACTATAGATAGTGTTTCCAGTGGAGATGGAAAAGTTAGGAAGTCTCCATATTCCACAGGTAGCATCCTCGGTATAGGACCACCAATCCACACATTACGTTACAATTTTACTGCAAGGTAGGACAAGGAATCAAGCCCCAAGTCTACTTCAGCCAGAATGGACAATCAAACTCTGAATCCTTGGTATTGTTCTGAACCACGCGCTATCAAACTGGTCCTCTGTTTCTGTAATTAAACATGGTACTAAAGTTAGTCCCTATTGATGGACACAAAGTCACGTACCATTATTTTAGTACATATGGAGATAAAACACAGGCAACTAAACATATTGAAAACACCATTACTGCTTTTGGTATCGATAATCCTAATTCTACCTACTGTAATGGCTCTCTGCCATTGTAACATCTCTCCAGGGAAAATATTGCATTGTTCAATGTACAGGTTATACAGTACCACCCATGTTAATGCTCTGTATATTGCATTCCATCAATGCTCTGCCCAGACACAGGACTTTAGCTCATTGTCTGCTTTCGCTTCGTGTTGAACCATTTTCCTTGGCAGTTTTTGTCAGCAGCAGTTTGTCATTTCCTACCATTCTCAGGGACAGTGCAAGGAGCCAGCTCCCATGTCTACCTCAGACAGGATGGGAATTGAACCCACGTTGTCAGCACTATTCTGAACCAGAGGCCAAAGGAGCTAATGAGACCCATGGAGTTTGCATATAGAAACTTCAAAACAAATGTTTTTCTTTAAGTAGGGCATTAATAATTTTATGGTTTGCAAGTTCTTTGGTAAAGAAATAAAAACAGTGGGAAGTAGCCAAGCCTATATACACACACTGAACTGTACAAAATATCCTATCAGTGAGTAGTCAATCGGTGTAGTTAGTACTTGGCCTTGGTCCTAGAATATATTTTTTGTCTTGTCATGTTCCATATTTTTGTTCTCAGTGTGAAAATGCCTCTGACAAAGGAATATTTGTCTGAAGTTTAACCAAAATCCATTTCCCCATAGAAATAATGTATCATAGCAGTTAAAAGTCTCAGTAGTACACAACTGGAGTACCAATGACAATGTCACATTTGTTCTCTTTGCATCATCTTCAAATACAATCAGCTTCTATCATTAAGGAATGATATGGAGTTAAATGACCAAGGAACTGACTGAAGGTTCTGAAAATATCTTTCCAATATGCATCACATCAAGTTTAAAAGCAGAGTGGCATGACATAATTAGCTAATGTATGCTGACTCTCCTTACTATTATGTCCTTTATTATAAACTCTAACATTTTCCAATAACAGATGTTACGCTATTGTTATCAGTCTTTTATCTTCTTTCCTTTTTGAATAAGGTTAGAAAAATGCCAATGCAATAATCCTCTATTAATTTTCCAGAATCTAAGGATTCTTGGAAGATTACTAACAGTACATCTGATATCTCTATAGCTGCTTTCTTTGATATCCTGGGATGCAGCCCATCAAGTCAAGGTTGGTTCCATTCATTTCTTTGGAATTTTCTGTCTAATGGTAACGACTGTATTTATTTTCACTCCCCCTTTAGCTCCTTGATTTTTTTTTCTTGGAATGCATTAATGTCTTCTACCATGAAAAATAATGCAAAATAATTTATCAACTTCTCTGCTATTTTCGGGTGCCCTATTGTTCAAACAATTGATAACGGTGACATTAATTGCGCAAGAGGAAAGGTAAGGAAAGAAGTAACAAAGAAGCTGTATTTGCTTTCCAAATAATCAGGAACTGCTTGCCTCTATAATAATAAAACATTGACATTCAGCAAATGATATATTCACCAAACTCATAAAATTCAGTTACCAGCCTTTGCCATCCTTTAGCCATTTAATCATTATATAAAGTAGAAAAGGGATACTCCTAAATGGCTATCCTTAAGTAACTAACGCTTCTTTACTCAAACGCTCACTCGGTTGCTCACAAGGATAATGTGAAAATGGGGATGGGGTACAGGCTGCACTGGCTGAGATTACCATGAAGGACTCTCCTTCTCAACTTCTCCCCTCCCCTGGGGCATGGCAACCCTCAGGTTAAACCACCACCAGTTGTCACTCTCTAATGAGAGAGAGCAGCCCTATGGTCTGCAAATAACTATGGTAACTTTACTTGTAAATTTAAAAAACCTTGCCTTTTCCAAGCCCAAATATACATATGTTGTAAAATGAGCCAATTTACTCAAGCTTTGAGCTTAAAAATGATTTTTTTTAAGCTACTGTTACATAAGATAATAAAACATATTACAGATACACATAGATTTGCTTTTCATCCCCTCTAAAATGATATACAAACCAGTTTTAGGTTTATCCACGAAGAATAGATTATGAAATGTGAATGTTCAGGTGGGCAATTCCAGGAGCAATAACTCAGGCATTTGAAGAGGTTTGGAGATTCTTGGTTCTATTGTTAACTGAATTACGTTTGCCCAGTTTCCTTTAACTGTGGCGTTTCTGATTTGACTTGTTTTCAGTGGTTCGATGGATACTTTATTGTCTTTTATGCTGCACATGTGGGAGTGCTAGTGGAAATTTGCAAGTGTGGCCTTCCACAGGACACTTTAGCATTGTGCAACTTGAATCCTAAGCCTGATTAAATAAACCTAAGATGCTATTAAATCTTTAATCAGTTAGAAGGTTTTAATTGATTAACATGTACATGTAAATCCCTGAATTCCTTTCAAGTCACTGCCCTGAGAGAACTAAAGGTTTAACTGATTAAAGACGTAACAGCATCTTAGGTTTATTTAACACATCGTCATCAGTGGTGTGACCCTTTGATCTTTTACTTATAAATTCCGTGACTGATACCACCTCTCTCACTAACACCTGAAGAAGACGCGAGGCTCCAAAAGTTTGTGTTTTCAAATAAACCTGTTGGATTATAACTGGTGTCGTGTGATTTCTGAACTTGTCCACCATCTGTGGGGTTTTTATTACTGCTAAATAATTTATTTTCAATCCCTGTGACAGATTCTTCTACCTCTGTATACACCGTTACATTTGGTTTTTCTACTGGGCTCCAGGTGATTACAATCCTTGCTAATATTTCCAATAAAAACCTACCCATTTCCAATAATATTTCCAATAAAAACCTACCAATTACATGAGACTAAACTCCATCTAGTGGTTAAGAAAAGAATAACTCAAAAAAAATTCAAATGATAGTTACAATTGTCAGGACAAAGTTCAAATATTTCAATTCACTTTTTCTCCACCCACAATAAATAAATCAATCATTAAAATAAACTCTGACAAAAATGAACAATTGAGAGACAATCCACAAGTTTTTTTATTTTGCTATTTACTACAAATCAATGGCACAGTTATTGAACATGCTGTTGTATTGTAATTGAGTACTGATGCACAATTCAAGTTTTTTACCCAGAATGTTTGACACCATACATTTCCTCCTTAAAAAACAAAATATTTTAGCTTCTGAAGTCTTTCAAACTCATGAAAACGTAATTTTATGGCAAGGAACAAGGAGGATTCTCAAGCAAAAACTGAAGCCAGATTGGTTCAATTAGAAATTAAATCAGTATCGTGCATTATTCAGTCTGTAATGCTTTAGCATTTGTTCCAGTGTACAGTTTTGACACTTAATAACTTTGAATCCTGTGGTGAACTTAGAGCTTTAACACTCTGTGCTTGTTTTAAACCATTAAGTAGAAGTAAATTGAAGCGATTATTTGCATTCAAGTTTTTCTATTTCAGTCACACTTCACAGAAAATACCAACAGAAAAATAATCAGATACCTGCAAATCAAGTGCTTCAAGGCTAAAACTTTGAAATTTTCACTGAGACATTATTGAATTAAATTATTCAGCTCTATTTCAAAACTTCAGTATCATTGTTTACTTTCTTTTTGGCGAATCCCAATCTAAAGCAGTTTCATATAAAGGCTACATGTTGCTCCAGGTGATAGTGGCTTCAAATGTCCAAATTTAGTTACAAACAGTTGCAGATTCAGACATGTTAAGCATCCAGCTAAATCTACCACAGTGAATTCTATGCACGTTAATGTATGGATTTGTCACGTGAGTGGTGAAAAAAAAATCTTCAATGCTGGTCCAACCATGGTCACTAGCTGGCAAGGAGGCAGAAACAGCTCTCAAGACTGGTTTCAGGTTGTAATCAAAAATAGCCTGCTGACTGCAGTCAATTTTGAGATCCCCTACATAATTAATTAATTGGACTTGAACTATGTCCCCCAACACCGGGAACAGGAGTGAGGAATGCCATGCACTGGACATCATCTAAATCAACAGAAGCAGTCTCAACGTGTCCCAGATTTAAGTATAGCTCAGCTCACTTCAACTTGTTTGGAATCATCTTTGACCTCTCTCAAAATGATGCTAATTCACAGATTTTATCTAGCCTTTCCATGATCAAAGTGTTTGTGCAATTTTTACATCATGGAAATTACAAACTGTTTTAAGTACCAAGCCCAAAATCTGCCACTGGATTCATAATGTTACAATAAAAATCTAATTACAGACCAAACATTACGAGGATCAATAACAGTGCTTCAAAATATAAAAATTAAGCAATAAAAATGTGTTCTAGGGCAATTTCTTTCAGTAAGTCAAATCAAAACATACTCTGCCTAAATTAGAGATAGACCTGGAAATAGCAGGTCAAACAGCATCTGTGGTGGAAGAAAAAGAATTAATATTTCAGTATGTTGATCTTTTAATCAGTATGGTGTCTCTCTCCAGAGATGTGGCCTGACCGTTTAAGTATATCCAGCATTTTCAGTTGTACATTTAGATTTCCAGCATCTACAGTATTTTCATTTTGTCTGGAGAATGCCCCATCACACTGAATTCTCAAAAGTTTAGAAAAAAGTAAAGCTGATTTTAATAATTTCTAATTAACCACTTCCTCAGGAACCAGCCTGTTTATTGGTTGTCAAATTTGCCATTCTAAAATGGGTTTTTTTCCAACAAAACATTATTTTGATCTATCATGTGGCTGAAACACACCGGGGTATATTTTCCTTCACTGACAATACTGAAAGCATAACTTCTATGAGGTAGATAACAGATTGGACAAAGTAAAATTAGTTCAAAGTAAACTCAATGAATACAAAAAAGGGTTCAGCTTATGCCAGTAAAGAGTAATGAATTGGATGATCAGCCGTGATCATATTGAATGGCACAGCAGGCTCAAAGAGCTGAACGCCCCAGGCCTACTTCTATTTCCTATGTTTCTTTGTTTATGATTCTAAAGAGCTAAACTAGGACTAAGACTAAAACACTGAAGAGGAGTCATACTGGACTCAAAACATTCATTCTGTTTTCCCTCTCCTCAGATGCTGCCAGACCTACTGAATTTCTCCAGTATTCTCAGTGTTTGTGTTTCTAATCTAAGAACAGACTGATGGCAGGAAGTTTCACATCTCTCAGAATAAATAAGTTAAAAATAGAAAATGCTAAGCAGAGCAGGGAGCCTCTGTGGGGAAAATGAGAGCAGAAGAGTTACTGTTCCAGGTCAAGTATCTTTTGTCTGAATAAAATACATTGAATAAACTTCCATGACAATAGTAGCGGTGAAAATTCTGGAATTTTTTGAGAAACTGCTCCTATAGGATGTCTCTGAGAATGAATTAGTTTCTGTACAAAGCTTCTGGCTGAATGTACGAAAGGTTGGTCAAATGTCTTCTCCCAACTGCAAATATTACAATCTGAAGACTAGGCAAAAAGCAGTTTCTACTCTCACCACATTCTTGGACAATTAAGGGAAAACGTGACTCAAAAATGAAGGTTACAGGAAAAGAGACTGAAGGTTAGCAGTCACCCCTAATAAAGAACTATCAGAATGATACAAAGATTGCTGGTCAGGCTGTAGTTTACCTTGAAAACCAAGCATGCAAAGTCGATGTGCCACCAAGTTTCTGGCAACTTGCAGAGTCTCAAAATAGGCACTAGGATTGTGATCAACACATTCAAGGAGTTCGATATATGTTCAGGGAAATGCTCCGGACACTCGCAAAGTCACAGACTGCAGTAGCAGGCATACTTCAAGGAAAGGGGTTCATCAAGATTGGGGGAGGCTTGGTAGAAGCGAGAATTTGGACGCAGAAAGTCACTGCTTAAAATCATTTCTCGACTCCTCGTTCTGCCTCATGCTCCTTTCTCCAACCATTGTATAAAGATATTGCATGTCATAATTTTTCAAATATACAAGGAGCCCAGACAGTTTTAGTAGTCTCTCAATACATTTAATTTCTTTTCCAATTTTTAAAAAACTGATTGCCATTATATGCAACAGTAAGTGCTCACAGTGAAGAACAAAATATTAGGAGATTGCATTCATACAAAGTTCCATAAAAGACCACAGACCTGAAATGTAATCTCTCCCTGACCTGAGTATTACCATCATTTGCTTTTTGGATTTCGAATTTACAGCAAGCACAATATTTTGCCTTTTGCAGTTTTCCTGCCATTTTCATATTTAAGTAATGTTATGCATGAAAACTAAACAGTTTCAGACCACCAGCAGGCTTTGTCACACCACTTAAACTTCAGATTAGGTGAAAGATATGTTGACTTTAGTAGAACCTGGATTTAAACAATGCTCAGGTAGGTCTACTGGATCTACTAGGCAAAAAAAACCTCAATTCTATATGTCTAATGTGAAATTGGTTGCAGTAGTTTCTCATTCACAGAATAACCACGCATTCAGAGATCTTTCCTGGTTAAGTCTGCATCATAGCTAGCAGCAGACTGCAATATAATTTCTCTTGCTACTCATATCTTTCATCAGCTAATGATTTAGAACAATAGTCTAGTGTAACATGGTCCAAAACACTGATCTTTATTGTATAAAGAATTTGGATTACAGACCATTTAAAATAAAAACATTTTATCGTCACAAAAAAAAGTGCAAAATCATTTCTATGTCAATAGTTAAGGCCAATAAACTTTGATTCCAGAAGCGCACTTTGAAGTCAGTTTAAATTAGGTTAACTGTCAGTACATGTCTAAAGTTAGGAGTGTCTGTATTTTGAAGATGACAAATCCAGCAATTTGACTTTTTTTTGGGTTGTCCTGCATACTTGTGCTCTTTTCCTCTTGTTTCTTTTTACCTCCTTTTTTAAATAAAAGAACTCCTAACCCAGTTCTAAAACAGACCCAAGTTTAACCATAGATATTATTAGTATTACAAACACGGAGTTCCAGAGCACATTTCAACTCCTAAGCAATTGCTGAACACATTTCTGCGTTCTATAGTAGAACATGTGCAAGAAAAAAAATACACTTTGAGTATGCAATCCCCTTTAATTGTTTTAATGTTTGAATCAGAAACAGGTTGCACTTTTCAGTCAGTCATTCTGTAGTACCCACAATTGGAGTTTCAATGAATCAATATAGATTTAACAGCACAAATGGAGTTCTGACATTCCAGCTTCACTGTATCATTCAGATTAGGCAGATGATGATACATGGATAAATCTCAGTGGTCTTGATGCATATACAATCCAAGTTGAGTTTGAAGGCTGTTGGATCTACTAAAAATTGGGGTAACTGCTGAAAAGAAAAAGGACATAAAATATATGGAGAACTATTCACGTTTAGTGAGAGTGATATAAGCGAATGGCAAAAATTTCACCTGGTCAATATACACTATCTATATTAGGAGTTTCCAAAATGCAGTTCTCGACCTACTATAGGGTCATGGAACAACTAATTTGAATCATGACATTCCTCTCCTCCACTGCAGCCATGTAACCATAAAGCAGACATTCAGGGGGACAGTCCTGGGATGAGCTCTCAGGTCCCCTGATATGCATGCGCACAACTCTTTATCTCCTTGATTTGGTGGGCATGGCTTAATGGAATAAGCTTTGACACCTGTTTAGTGTCTCTAACAGAGGCTTTAAATATCCTAGTGTAGAAAAGTTAGAGGTTGACCTTCTAGAGACGTTCAAGATTTAAGGGTGGTGGTAAAGTAAAAGGTATTTTGATGAGTTGGGAGTAGGCAAGATTAAAATAACCATTACAAAAAGAAAATCAGAAAAAATAGGCTAAAATTGTTCTATATAGATTTTTTTTTGAAGAAAAGGGTGTTAATTTCTTTGGAAATACTGGAATTAATAAGGATATGGAGAGTAGGATTGGTCTAGGTGGCTTAAGGAAGAAAAATACCATATATATTTGAATGGTTTGTCTCCACGCTTTAACCTATTGTTCTAATATCTTGTGCAGTCTGAGAAACACCTCACCTATGGATTTCACCCTTTGCTTCTGTAAACCTATTACGAATCATGAATGTTGCAACAGCTTCTGCCACCTAGAAAAGAAATTGAAGGTGACATACTTTGATTGAATACAAAGAAAATTTAGGTTTGTGCTCTAGATATCACAACCATATTCATCCACTACATCAGATTATAAGCTTCTAAGTATAGTTGGAAGTTAAACAAATTTCACCTAAAGTCTGGAAGGATTTCGATAGTCACACAAAAATAACAACCAGAAAATATTGGAAAGACACAGCAGATGCATGTCAGTTCTGAGGAAGGCTTTTCATCCGCAGTGCCTTTCTCTTTACAGTTGATAATAGTTCACTTTTTTTTATTACGGCTTCTGCCGGTTATAGATTTTTATCAACTTTGATCTGTCATGTTAAGTTTGTTAAAAAAGTTTTGAAGAAATCGCATGCATTTAATTATTCAAATCATTAAAAATAAGTTATAACAAATTTTACAATTCTACACTGATTATGAAAAATTACTGGCTGCTAAAATAAAACTCAACTGATTATTTTACTTGATAAAGCTTAAACCAACAAAGGTCACAAAATGCTCTCTTACTGCTCGGAATTGGAGATATTGCTGGTCATTAATTCCACCTCTAACTACAAATATCAGGCTCAAAATGTATTAAAATTTGAATGCCATAACTAAATCAGAGATTTCCTCTGAGGGAGGCAAATCTCTCTGCTTACTTTGTCTGGGGCGTCTTCATGTACAGCATGGCCACATTGTGGAAGAACTTGCATCTGAAATTTTCCTGAAAAAATAAATGAGAATCATAATCACATTAGTGAATTGCTTGTTGTCATTTCAGAATAGTTTTTTTTTAAAAATTGATTTCTGTGATGTGGGTTCCCCTCTACCCCTCTCAGACAAAGGCTAAATTTTGATCAAGTCGTTAATTGATCAAAGTTAAAAATCAGTACTAAAAGGTATTCATGATGGAACCAGCTGGATATACTGTTTACATAGTATCAAAAGTAACAAAAAGGTTGAAACAGAAATACTATGCATCAAGTTTCACAAAGAGCAAAATGTTTTTAAATATGGAATTTACATTAAAGATGATAAGCACAGACTTAAAAATTACATTTGTTACTTAAACTAACATTTTGAAGCTATAGAATATAAACTAGCTGAAAATTAAAGATGAAAAGTTCATATTACTACCTTGCATTTGACCAATTGTAAGATCTCGATCTAATCTGTCAACACCTGCAAAATAGAAAAAAGGTAGCCACATAGTTTATTGAACTTATTTAATAAAACATATAAAAATAGTTTTCAAAACTGAACAAAGGTAGATCAAAATGAAATTGTACCTGCTAGTAATAGTAGTTTGGGGATTGGGCAGCCGAGAAAGAGGTTGGATAGCCCTTTAAACCACCCCTCCCAGTACTTCTCAGTTTTGGACAGCTCAACACGCCATGTGTACTGAAATAATAAACATTAAATAACACTGTTAGCTAATTGTTGAATAGCCCAGACAGAGAAAGAAACAGAATTAATCCATCAATGCTGCAACAGCTAAAACAATGAATTCTCAGATACTGTACATTCAAAGCAAACATTTTGGAAAAATAAGCCAGAGTTTTGTAGGCAGTCTTGTGTTGTGATGTTGCACCTTATGATATTGTTGTTACATATAATTCACCAAAGGAAGAATGTATAGGTTATGGGGAAACAGCAGGTGTAGTGAGAATGACTGAATACTTTTCCAAAGAGCCATCACAAGGCACAATGGGCTGAATGGCCTCTAGCTGTGCTGGAACAATTTATTTCTATGAACAGGTTAAGAAGTCATTTTAACTCCCTGCTGATAAATTTTCAGAGTGGAAACCTGATTGCCACTTTGATGATGCAGAGTAGTACCATTGCCATTAAATTACTGGGCAATAATGTAGCCAGTAAGGATTTAATGTCTTCAGAGGAAGGTTGAATAGGAGGAGTTAGAAGAGAGATAAACAGAGGAACAAAATACATATAAGCATCCACATGGCCAGCAGAAACCAACAATCAACGATAAAATCAATTACTGTATTCACTTAAACTACAAAGTTTTACTTTTTAAAAATTTTGAAAATAAACTTGAATTTATCATTTGATTTTAAGAGCTGTTTACATTACTGGGCACTTTTAAGTTCAAGGGAAAAACATGAAAAGGCTTGCAACTTTAAGAACAGGAATATTGTTACGTTCAAAAGGTAGGAAAAAACATTTTCAGGAAAACAAGCAATAAAGCAAATGAATAGATGGCTTACACTCAAAATCTACAGATCATTGCTTACCTCAGTTTTACTTTCTTTCAATTTTTTACTTGATTCAGGTTCCTTCTCCTTCTTCACTGTCCCTTCTTCCTCCTCTGCCTCATCCTCTTCCTCTTCATGAATAGCAGTGTCCACAACAGAATGGGAGCTCCCTGCAATGTTGATATCATCCTCACAACTTGAGGAAAACAATTCAGAATGAGTAAATAATTAACTTTGCTTGAAGTTTAATTATTTCCCCATATAAGATTCTTGTTACAACTTTATTAAAATTCTATTTGGAACTTAGAGTTAGTTCCCAGGGATTAAATTCACCCAGCAATACAATTTAAAGTTGTGAATTTAGAATTCAGTCAAAACATCTATCCAGATGGTTTGAGATGATGTAAATTTGCATTGCAGTGATCATCTGTACACAGTAAATAGATTGCTCAAGTCATTACAGAGCAGCAAGAATTAATTTCTAGCAGCTCCCACCTTTGAGGTATTGGCAGTCCTACTATTCACCAACGGGGTCTGAGCTCTGAAACCAGAAGATACAGGACATTTTCTGAAGTTTAAAGAGAGACTGAGGGAACCTGTCAGAATGGATTTCTACTGGAATTTGGGATCTTTACTGTCCCATTAGACTGCAGATTTGGAGCATTAAAACCAACAGAAATTACCTCATTATATTTGTAAACTTTTGGATAGTGTTTAACAAGGATCCATTTTAAGTGAGACATTATGTACAGTAAATGTACTTTGGCAGGAATAGTAGATGAGTTGACTATTATTTAAATGGAGAAAGACTACAGAATGTGCTGCAGCACAGAATGATCTTGGGATCCCAGAGCGTGAATTACAAAAAGCTAGCATCCAAATCCAGTGGGTAATAGCGTAGGCAAAATGGAAAGCTTGCCTTTATTTCAAAGTGAATGAAGTATGTATGGAGGTTTTGCTAAAACTATGCAAGGCGCTAGTCAGACCACAACTGGAATACTGAACAGTTTTGGGCCCCTTATCCAAGGAAAGATATGCTGGCATTGGAGGCAATCTAGGGAAAGATTCACTAGGCTGATCCTGGGTATGGACACATTTTCATAGAATCATAAAATCTCTACAGTGTGGAAGCAAGCCAATTGGCCCTTCGAGCCCACACTGACCCTCCAAAGAACATCTCCCCCAAACTCGCCACCCCCACACCCTATATTTTTCCCCATGGCCAATTCACCTAACCTGCAAATGTTTGGACTGTGGGAGGAAATCGGAGCACCCAGAGAAAACCCTGCAGACATGGGGAGGATCTACAAACTCCATTCTGCCCAAGGGTGGATTCAAACACAGGTCCCTGGCGCTGTGAGGCAGCAGTGCTAACTACGGAGCTACCATGCCACCATTTTCTTATGAGTAGCAGCTTAGTAGGTTTGGTTTGTACTCATTGGAGTTTAGAAGAATGAAGGAGATCTTAGAGAAACGTGTAAGATTCTTAGGGGATTCTTTGTCAGGTTGGAGGTGGAGAGGTTGGTTCCCCTTGTGGGCAAGTCCAAGACTAGAGGGCATAGTCTCAGAGTAAGGGATCACCCATTAAAGATAGATGAGGAAGAATTTTTTTCTCAGAGTGGTGAATCTGTGGAACGTTTTTAATCACAGAAGAATGCTGAGACTGGGTTATTATGTACATTCAAGACCGAGATAGCCAGATTTCTAATCAACAAGAGAATCCAGAGTTATGGGGATAAAGAAGGCAAGTGGAGTTGAGGATTTCCAGATCGGCCGTAATCTGGCCAAATGGTGGGACTTGATGGACCAAATGGCCTATTTCCATTCCAACACCTTATCATCTAAAACTAGAAGTAGGGTTCTAGGATCATCCTAGATAACTCCTACTTTTTCATTACATTACAAATTGCTTCGTTAAACCATTTACCTTACCACCTCAACACTTGATCACTCTGATCTTGCATCAGTCCATCATCAATCCCCCTGCACTTATTGTTGCTGTCCATTTTCATGCTCACTTCTTTCATAAAAATCAAAATCAGGTCTACATACCTTTCACAGCAGCCTCAAGTCACGAACGACATTCTCTCTCCTCAATCATTCTGCAGCCTTTGACATGACTGATGACAGCATTCCCCCACCATAACTCTACTGCATTCTGTAGCTTAGTTAGATTGTTTTATTCTACTGTCACTTATTACTGGAACATAACCTTTGTTATTACTACCCACTATGTATCTTCATTCCAGAATTTATCCTTGGCACCCTCTTCTTCCACAAAATAGTTTCCACAATAGCATTCACCAAGACAGCGTCAGCATCTAAATGCAAGCCAATGACGTCCAGCTGTACCTCTTTTCCTAATCTCCTGGCCACTGCATGTAAGCTGTATAATTTTTGCTTTGTATCAGTAGTCAAGCTGCAGTTAGACATTAGGAAGACAGCTGAAACAATTGAAATTTGATACAAAGTGCCTACCATCTACAGAGTTTCCATTCCCCTACCTTTACGTTGAACCAGAGTACCTGCAAACTGTGTTGTATTTCAACTTGTGTTGAGCTAGTGACCCCAAATCATATCCAAAACACAGACTGCCTACATCCATCTCTGTAGCTTTATCTGTATCCACCCCAAAATCAATTTTAGTCCATCTGATAACCAAAAACTCATCCATGCCTTAGTCACCTCTAATTTTGACTGTTCTAATGGTGTCTCATCCACTCACCTCATCCAACTCAGATGCCTTTATCCTATGCCAAGCCAAACCTCAAGTCCAGCATCCATTTTTACTGTTTTACACTGGCTTCTGGTCTCCTGAGATCTTTGCCATGTTTAAATCCTCCCAGGCCATCAGATCCTGAAGACTTTTTTCTTTAAAAAAATTCACTCATGGAATGTGGACGTCACTGATTCAGCCAGCAGTTAGTGCATCTTTGTATTTTTCCTATGTTTCTATGAAATGCCTTAAGATTTATTTTGTACTTTAAGAAGGTTTTATAAAAAATAATTTGGCTTACCAATAGCGATGTGCTAAACTGCACTCTGGACAATTAGGGATAAACAATATGTTGGCCTAGCCTGACTTCACCTGATGAAGGAGCAGCACTCTTAAAGCTTGTGATTTCAAATAAACCTGTTGGACTTCAACCTGGTGTCATGTCGACTTCTGACTTTGTCCACCCCAGTACAACAATGGCACCTCCACATCATAACAACTTTAAAAAAAAAAAATTGCTTATGGGATGTTATGACAAAATCTGATGAATAATACTGAAGAAACTAAGCATAAAATTTCACCTAGACAAGTTAATTAAGAGATTCAAATTTCCACAAAGAAACAAAGTTTGTCAGGGAAAAAGAAATATTTTCCTGCCAATACTGCACAATATAGACTGTGTTAGTATGGAAGCGTTAAAACAAAAAAAAACTTACAGTTTTACTTGCCCAACCATGGAGACTTTTGCCGATTCCAGATTTCGTATCTGACCACTTTTCACACTGTGTGAGCAAAGAAATGTGAAATAAGAACTGCTACATTCGAGTTGAGTTACATAGATCATCAGTTTAATGCTATATTTACCAGTGACATACTTCTGATTATTCCCAAAGTAACATAAAAGTGGATAAATAAGAATTTACAAAGAGTAAACTCAGCATCACTGTGAACATTAAACCTCCCAAAGTGCCAGGGATTATGCTTTCTGAAGACACATGATGTGTTGGCACTGACCCATACAAACCAAGGAGGATGCATCTATTTTGACCAAATTGGTCTAATCTGAGTCACCAGTGGTCCACTATGCATATCTTAAGAATCTCCAGTAAAAAAAATTGGAACATTGAACAACAGCTGCTAGTTCAAATTATACCAGGGTTGCAAATGTTCTTTATTCTTTAATGGGATGTATTCATCACTGGCAGGCAACAAATGCTGCCATTATCTCCTTGTTACTCCTAAACTGAGTGACTTGCTTGGCCATTGAAGAGTGTAATATTTTACTGCTGGTCTGGAGTCACATGTAGACCAGACAGATAAGACCACAGATTTCCTTCCCTAAAGGGCATTATTCAAGATTGAATTGAATTTAAATGTCATGAGGGATTCAAACCAGTTCCCCCAAAGGATCACCTTCAGCTTATCAGTCCAGTAATATTACAAAAACACCCCCAGAAAAAAAATGCAAATCTTTGGAGACTTTTCTAAAAAGGAACTGGCCTCAGTTATCATCTTTGCAACTAGTCTCTGGTATTCATTGTCTAACTTCACTTTTGAACATTTAGACAACGTGGTGTCCTGATGAAATTATGTCAAACATGTGTCACCAATTTGGTGGAAAAAAAATTGAATATCCATTGTGGGCAAGGGCCATCAGTTAATTCCGAGAAATCGGAGGAGAGCTTAAACTTCAGTGCTGCTTAAACAAATAATTAATGAAATTAATATTAAACATTTTATTTGATACAAATCCCACTTGATGTAGCTAGAAATTGATGCCCATGCCTGGTTGCTCTGAATTGAATAGCTTGTTCAGTCAAATGAAATAGCATATACGAGTGAACTATTTTGATGCGAGACTGGAGTCATGCGTAGGCCATTTAGAACAAAGTTCCAGGTTTTGTTCTTAAAGGACATTATCAAGCCAATGGGCTTACATGACAATCCAATTGTTTCACCTTCACTGATGTCAGCTTTTTATTTTCAGGTTAATTCTCTAACTGCTAGTTGAGCTCAAACTCAATTTTTAATCCAGTTACAGAAACAATACACTACTGAACTCCAATATCAGCAGTTTTATTCTGAACATAAATTAGTTTTATGCCACAAAACTAAAGTAATTAAGAAAGCTAATGGAATACTGGCCTTTATATTGAAAGAACTGGAGTAACAGGATGCAGCTACAAAGAACATGTCAGGAGTGTGATGGAACAGTCCCCACTTGCCTGGATGGGTGCAGTTCCACAACAGTCAGGAAGTTTGACAACATTCAGGACAAAGCAGCCTGTTGATTGTTTGTGGATGTAGGTCATTCGTCCCGTCTCAGAGGTCCATGCCTGGCAGTGGCTTCCAGAAGCAAAAACCGTGCATCGGTACATGTGCCTTGTAGCTGGTGGACTAGCCTTGGGGAGTCACGTGGTGAGTTACTCACTGCAGGATTCCTAGTCTCTAACCTGCTTTTGTAGCCACTGTATTTATATGGCTAGTCCAATTCAGTTTCTGGTCAATGGTAACACCCAGGATGTTGAAAGTGGGAGATTTCAGTGATGGTATTACCATTGAATGTCAAGAGGCAATAGTTAAATTGTTTCATATTGGAATGATCATTACCTGGCAGTTGCGAGACACAAATGCTCTTTGCCACTTTTCAGACCAAGCCTGGATATTGCCCCGGTTTTGTTGCATTTGAACATGGACTGCTTCGGTATCAGAGGATCTGTGATTGATGCTGAACTTTATACAATAATCAACAAACATTCCCATTTATGATAAAGGGAAGGTGATTGATGAAGCAGTTGAAGATGGTTGGGCCTTGGACACTACCCTGAGGAACTACGCTTGTGATGTAGTCAATAGTGTCCTGCCTCTGAACAAGGAGGCATGTTCAAGTCCCACCTGCTCCAGAGGTGTGTGATAACATCTCTGAATAGGTTGATCAAAACTAGGAACTCCTGCAGAGAATGCCCTGGGGCCAAGATGATCAACCATCTACAACTCCAAGCACCTTTTGTTGTACTAGGTATGATTTCAACCAGTGGCAAGTTTCCTCTCTGATTCTAATTAACTCCAGTGTTGTCAAGGAGTCCTAGCAAAAAAGTCAAACAAATGTAGCCTTGATATTGAGAATTGTCAATCTCACCTCATGTCTGGTACTTGGCTTTTTTAATCTATGTTTGAACTAAGGCTGGACTGAGGTCAGGAGCTTACTGACCCATTTACATTCAAAAGCCAGAGTGGGGTGACCCTTACTTGCAGCATCAACAGTTCTTTCGAATTTATTTGTGCTAAAACTACTTTCTACAAGTATCTATTAACATACAGTCAATTGTTACCACATGCAAGGCAGAGCATGAAGAAACTACTATTCTGTTTTTTCAACTGTTACCATTATAAGATCTATAAGAATTATTCGGAATTTGTTAACTGACAGACTGTGTGCAAACAGATACCATTGCTATTTCATTAAACTTGGAATACAAATATATGCCTCTAAAACTACTTCCTAATTTTTACAGTTTTATCTGCTTTGTAGTTGCTTTGCGTTTGCTGAAGCAAAAGGCAGCATGGTAGTTCAGTGGTTAGCATTGCTGCCTCACAGTGCGAGGGACCCGGGTTCAATTCCACCCGTGGGCGACTGCATGGGTTTCTTCTGGGTACTCCAGTTTCCTCCCACAGTCCAAAGACATGCAGGTTAGGTTGATTGGCCATGCTAAATTGTCCATGGTGTCCGGGGATGTGCAGGCCATGGAAGTGTAGAGTGGGTCTGGGTGTGATCCTGTTCAGAGGGTCGGTGTGGACTCCATGGGCTGAATGACCTGCTTCCACACTGTATTCCATGATTTAAAAAAAGAAATTATCCAAGTACAGGTAGTTCTGTTTCATGTTTCATTAGCACGAATTGGCTGTAACATGACTGATGAATAGTAGATGCTGCTTGGATAAGGTGAACTTTCTGCTGTACAAGTATAGCGATTTCTCTATAAGGCAATTTTCTATAGCACAAGGTCACACAAAAACACAACTATCACATTACAGTAGAACTACCAGTACACTTTTTTTTTACTCATCTTTGGATTCTCTTCTTATAGATGTTTTTACGTTTGATAATCTCAACAAGTGCGTGGCAAAAAGACAACTAAATTTATGAAAATTATCATTCTATTAAATACAATTTCAACAGCCATGATGGCACTTGTTGAGGTGCAACACAGAAGGAAGTGGCTACTGATAACGGAAAATGCTGAAATATTCAGATCAAGCAAATCTGTAGAGACAGAAGAGACAACATTTCAGGCCAATGGCCTTTCAGCAGAATGTTCCCAGTTTTTCCTGTTTGTCTTCCTCAAAATGACACCATACCTGAGTATTTCTAGTAGTTTCTGTTTTTATTTCAAATCTGTGGCACCCAAATTATTTGGCTTCTGAAAAAAATATCTAATGCAGGAACCAGAAAGTACCTTCATTCAAATTGATTTTCACATACATAGATCTGGACGTAGTAAGGCTCCACAGAATTCCAAGACAATGTAAAAAAAACTGAAAGCTTCAAAGACATGGGATTCTATAACAATAGAAAGCTCAATATTTGGCCATAGATTAATGAAAATAAGTCAGCCATAGATTGATCTTTAAAAGAATGAAGGGAACATCAAAGACTGTTGAGGTAAGCAGGTGTTTCTTTTTAAATCATTGTACAGGATGACTGGAGACCAACCCATTCCACCAAACAACCCAACAAAAACTGCAGCACAGTTGCATGTCATTGTGCATTTAATATTATATACAATATAAGGCACATTTTTACCACCTCAAATAGCAAGTACACAAGCCAGTATGCTGTAGAATTCAAACCAGTGCAGAACAGTAGCCAGTCAGACCGATATATCTCCACAGGTTCTACATTTTAATTTCTACATTGCTGCTCAGGGAAGCCACAATGAAGGAATCTGACAGAAGTAATAGTCTTAGCAACACTCATCGGTCTGAATTCCAGATGTTATGGTTGCCACACCACACTCTCTTCTCCCTTTAGCAGAGACGTCACGACCTACGACATTTATGTTTTATTCAATACCCTATGAAATGACTGAATTACATTCTACATGAATTGAGGACAGATTTATCTGTAAAGGACATGAGAGAATTCATATCACGAACAAAAACAAAGTTGCTGGAAAAGCTCAGCAGGTCTGGCAGTATCTGTGAAGGGAAAAACAGAGTTAACATTTCGGGTCCAGTGACCCGTCCTCAGAGAATTCATATCATTAGACTTCAAATTTCATATTTGTTAACAGTATTGCTACTGCAAGATACAAGACATTCATATAGATTTACAAGGATGTTGCCAGGGTTGGAGGGTTTGAGCTAAAGGGAGATGTTGAATAGGCTGGGGCTATTTTCCCTGGAGCGTCAGAGGCTAAGTGGTGATCTTATAGAGATTTATAAAATCACGAGAGGCATAGATAAGGTGAATAGCAAAAGGTCTTTTCCCTGGGGTAGAGGGTTCCAACTAGGGGGCACATTTTTAAGGTAAGAGGAGAAAAAGATTTAAAAAGGGACCTGAAGGGCAATTTTTTCCCATAGAGGGTGGATTGTATGTGGAATGAACTGCCGGAGGAAGTAGTAGATGCAGGTACAATTACAACATTTAAAAGACATTTAGAAAGGTACATGAATAGGAAAGATTTAGAGGGATATGGGCCAAACGCAGGCAAATGGGACCAGTTTAGTTTGGGAAACTTGGTCGGCACAGAGTTGGACCGAAGGGTCTGTTTCCACGCAGTATGACTCTATAATAACACCATGGGCTCTTGTCTTCTTTAGCAGACACCTGTGCAGCACCTTGTCAAAGGTCTTCTGGGAATGTAAACATATCACATCCATTGGCTCTCTCGGTCTAACTTGCTCATTGCCTCTTAAAAGAATTCTGACAGATCTGGCAGCCATGACTCCCCTTGACCATGCATTTTCAAGATCTCCACAATCTCATCCTTAATAAGGGACTCTAAAATCTTACTAACAACTGAGGCTAACCAGTCTATAATTCTCTGACTTCTACTTCCCTTCTTAAATACGAGTGCTGGATTAGCTATTTTTCAGTACTCTTGGGCCCTCCTCGACTCCAGGTGATTCCTGAAAAATTACCAATGCCACCACAATCTCCTCAGCTACCTCTTTCAGAACCATGGGGTTCAGTCAATCCAGTCCAGGTGATTTATCCATCTTCCGACCTTTCAGATTTCCCAGCACATTTTCCTTAGTGATGGACCCTAAACTCACCTCTGCCAACCAACACTCTTGAATTTAAGAGAAGTTCTGGTATAATACTGGTGTCTTCTACCATGAAGACTGACATAAAGTACCTATGCAGTTCCTCTGTCATTTTTTATTCCCCTAACTATTTCTCCATTACTGCCATTTTCCAGTGCTCCAATGTCCACACTTATTGCTCTTTTACCTTTTATATATTTAAAACAACTCCTATAATCTTCCTTTCATATTACTATCTTTCCTCATTCCATTTTATAATCCATCTTATATTTCATCTTCTCCCCCCTTATTGTTTTTGTCATTGTCCATTGCTGGATTTTAAAGACTTCCTAATTCTCTGGCTTCCCACTAATCTTCACCACATTGGATGCTTTTTCCTTTGCTTTTATGCTGTCCCTGACTTCCCTCGTCAACCATGGTTGCCTCATCATCTCCTTAGTATTTTTCTTCCTCCTTGGGGTGAATTTCTCCTGAATTACTCCCAGAAATTCAAGCCATTGCTGCTCCACCATCTTCCCTGCTAGGCTCCTCTTCCAATCAACTCTGGCCATCTCCTCCCTCATGTCTGTTTCCTTTACTCAAGTGTAATACCATTACATCTGATTCCAGCTTCTCCCTCTCAAACGGTAGGGTGAATGCTATAATATTGTGGTCACTGTCTCCTAGGGATTCCTTCGCGTTAAGCTCCCTATAGAAGCCTGACCCATTTCACATCACTAAATCCAAAATTGCCTTGTGGAGTCTACCACAAGCTGTTTCCAAAAAAAAAACCCATCTCATTGATATTCTGTGAATTCCTTTTCTAATGATCCACTGACAACCTGATATTCCCAGTCCACGTGGACATTGAAGCCTCCTTGGTTATTGTAATAGTGTCTTTCTTACATGCCTTTTCCATCTCCGGATTTATTTTCTGCCCCAAATCCTGACTACTGCTAGGAAGGCCATACATAACTGCCATCAGGGTCTTTTTCCCTTTCCGGTTCATAACTTTACCCACGCAGATGCTTTGCCTTCCAACTCTAGGTCACTTCTTGCTATTGAAAATTTAATCTTTAATGAAATTAAATCAATGGTTAATGCTTCAGAATGACACCCTCTCACATGCCTCCAAGAAGTTGAGATGGTTCATACAGTCCTTACTTACCAGTCTTACCAGCCTCAGTAATGAAGGGGTGCTGCCATCACTTCTCTGTTGGAATACTTGAACAATTATTTCCACTAGCCTCACAACTATTTTCTTGTTGAGCTTTTATAGACAGTGCAAGGTAATCACTGCTATGGTGTTTCGATTTGAATTCTGCAGAATGGTCAAGGTATTTGATATTCTTATAACAGTTATAGGTATTGTTGCAGCCTTGAGTAACAATTCATATTTGTAATAATACTGATTTCAGACTGCAACAAACAATTCAGCAACAGCAGTCAGCAACTTCCTGAAGGCTCGAGTGCTATGCAGCAGGAAACATACATGCCTAGCTTAAAGTGGAAACTTTGCTTATGGTTAGGTTTGGTCTGTTCTGTTAAAGCCTAGAAGGTGGCAGGGCAGCGATTTTATTACAATTGCACCAGTGCTTGGGCAGCTCAGAGGCTACATTAGCCATGTTTGGAGAGAATAGTCTTTGTTTCCAGGCAGTCAGTCTCTGATCCAATGCTTTGGAGCAAGGGAGGAAATTTAATTATGGTGCAAGATATCATGCCAGCTGCCTGAATATCTGGTACAGACCTGCAGGAGGCAGCATAGATGCCTGCAAAACATTTGCATGTGCAAATGAAAGTCTTATTTATGTAGATTCTAGGTTGTCCTACTGCAGCAAGCAAGGAAATGTGCGCTCCACCTGGGTAAACATGCAATTTTCCCTGTAAATCAAATCTCTGACATCCTGACATTGCTCCTGCTTTATGGCATTCACGTGCAAGGATATGAAGTCAATGACTTAAATCTGATGAATACGGACCTGCAAAAGTGATTGCAGGTGTAATTTGCAAACACTGGAATGACCAAAGCATTAAAAGTTTAAAGGCAACAAGGATGGTCAGCCATATACAAAGATGTGCCTGACATCACACTGTTAATAACGACGTGCTGCAGCAGTTTATAAGCTCTGTCTGCCTGGTAAAGCAAATCTTCGTCACAAAAAGCACTATTTGTTTGTGAACTGTAGGCAAGACATTCAGGGTCTATGTGCATGGTACAAAGCATCCTGCAAGCTGTGCTTCATTTTGTTCCTTTAGCTGTAACTCACTGCAAGTTGGCAAGATCCTCCTCCTCTTCCAGTACAAGCACCAAACCCATGAAACTATCAGAAATTTGCCAGAAGACCCTAAATTTTTATCAAGTTAACGTTTTACTTTCATAAATGATTTGTCAGTTCCAGCAACCCCAACACACAAAAGAAGCATACTAGTTACCAAGCTCAAAAATAACTGATGTTCCTTTAAGTTCACTAGAAATTCACCCTTCATTCTTTCCATGCCAATGACTTCTGCAACTGATTTATGAAATGATAAATGGAATTCTAGAGGTGTTTAAAAGGAGTGCACACTCTTAAAACAATTTAAACTTCTGAGGCAAATTGTGTCAGAGCACATGTGAGAAACCTGACTTTGAGCTTGAGTGCTCATTTTGCCAAAGTGCAAGTATTATTCCCATGCAATTCACCTCATTTTCTTTACATGCTTACAAAAAAAAATTATCTTGTTTTGTCCAAATTTGGCTCAAGCTGAAAAAACGCTCAAATGTTTCCAACCCTGAAACAGAAATGGACACTTACCAATGTTTGGACGAGGGAATGGCTAATTCTTACCCAAGCCTCTAATTGGACTGTGACATCATGACACTTTGAATGATAAGACTGCAGATTTATTCTACTGCAACTTCAGTTTCCTTTGGGACAATGTGGCAATTTTTCTCTTTGAATAAAGAGCATTTTTGTAGAGAATGTCTCATAGAAGGGACAGAAGAGTTACTTGCATTCAGAAAGGTAAAAAATCTCACCTCCATTCTATGGCACTTTCAATAGAGTTGAACACTTTAGGCCGACTCCGTAAAAACGTTTGCATGCTGTTTAAAGCGTCCATTGCCGTGCCTAGAAATTTTTTTTTAAAAAGTTAGAGACTTCAAGTGAAATTTAATTTATACATACATCACTAATAGATATTGTTAAGTTATAATGTTCTACAGCTGGTTTCTAAGAGCTGTTATGCAGGGTCTCATTATATCTATCATTACTTTTAGAAAAAGATCCAGTCAACTTAAATCACCCACCTTCCACTACATCAATCACACACAGACCCACAAGAGATGGCACCAGATTCTTTGCTGCAACATGAACGGCTATCGCTCCACCCATACTATGGCCAATCAAAACAACGGGGGGAGAATTTTCACCATAGAGCGTTTCCACTATAATACCAATGTCTCTGTAAAAGAAAAAATATATTTTGGAAACAAAAGCAGCATTCTCAAAGTTGCCTCACAGATGGTTTTAAAGGTTACTAGGTTATGTATTTAAGGTGGAGTAGAATTCGACAACCCAATGTCAAGATAACTTAACACATTGTATTCTGGATTAGCTTAATACATAATTTGTTATTTTCTTTTATTTGTTCACGGGTGTGAACAAGGTCAGCATTCATTGCACAAAACCCTTCAAATAGTAGTGATGTCCCTTGAACTGCTGCAGTCATACACAGTGCTGTTGGGGATGGCGCTTCAGGATTTTGACATAATGACAAAGATATACAAGGTGGAATTTAAAATGCCTTCCCTCTAGAGGCAGGCTGAAAGGGTGCATGATGAGAATGAGACCCAGAACACCAGAGCCAGAGCACGTTGTTCAAACAAGTGAGAAGACAGAGTGTCGGCACAACATCGAGGGCCGAAGGGCCTGTACTGCGCTGTAATGTTCTATGTTCTATGTTCGATGTTCTATCATTCCAATATCCACTATTAAACCATAACAGGGAGAAGGTGAATATTGACCTTTCCCTCAAGTTAATTCAAGCCCCTAAGGAGGTCAATTATAAGCCTCTTGGGGACTTGCACCACATGGACAGGCTGCAAGATGCAGCCTAAAGGGTGGCTTGTTTGAACACCTTGTGCCAAACATTCCCTTTAATTTTCTTACCATCTGTGTGGGCCTCCGAGGCCCATGCACAGCAGCTACTTCTGGAACTGTCAGTCAATGCCACACGGTGCTGAGAGACAACAGTGCTAACCACTGAACTAGGGACCCTGGTTCGATTCCAGCCTTGGGTTACTGTCTGTGCAGAGTTTGCAAATTCTCACTATATCTTTATGGGTTTCCTCCCGGTGCTTCAGTTTCCTCTCAGTCCAAAGATGTTCATGTTAGGTGGATTGCCCAGAATGTCCAGTGTGGCAGAGGTAAAGTGGGTTCGCTATGATAAATGGAGGGTTATGTGGATGTGATGGTGGGGTGGGATGTTTATTAAAGGGTTGTTCAGATGCGATGGGCCAAATGGCCTCTATCTGAATTGTGGGGATTCTATGAATCGCTGCGCAAAGAACACTGGAATAGCTGCACAAATGCACAGTTTAGAGGCAACTTTGCTTGTCCCCACAGAAGCCCCCACCAATGGCATGAGCCACCTCCACAGAAGACCACATCACCCAACACTATCTAAACAGGGCATGCACAAGAGGCATAAGTGAGCTCACTCCCATTTTGGACCAGGAAGAGCTATTCCTGGTACCCTGCGTACTGCAGTCCCAAATCTGGGCAAGTCTCCCAGTGGCACTGCTGGGAATGAAGAGCTGTTGACACCTGACTTCCTCCAAAAGCTCAAAAACCCTAATAGCAGACAGTAGACTGCCCAATTAGGATTCAAATCCACTGGGCTTCCTGGACATGGTTGCGGCAAAATTATGAACAGCTTTCAAGCCAGTCTTTGGAACCACTTCTCCAGCCATTACGTAAGCCCTTTGTTCCAAGCCAGGAAGGAAATCTGCAGACGGTGACATTTGTATGCATCTGCTTTCCTTATTCTTATAGATTGGAATATTTGGAAGGTAACATTGAAGGATTCTTGGAAATTGCTGTAGTAAATCTTGTAGATTATACAAACACTGCTACCACTATGCTTCAGTGGCAAAAGGAGTGAATGCTCAAGATGGGGAGGTGGGTTAATGAAGAAGCATGATTTGTCCTGGGTGATGTTGAGTTCCTGATGTAAATGAGTTTTTGGTTTGCAATGCTGTAACAATTTGCAAGGTCAAAATGGCTTTTGGAGCAGCCAGCTAAAGACATTCTGAACAAATCATATGACTTAAGCTAAATGATTCAACAGATTACGTGGTGAGATAATCGCTGATTATGGTTGACTTGAGTTTTAATGGCCCATAGAAATACAGATGGCGACAAACCACCAGCAAGTTAAGCTCAGAAAAAAAAAATCCATACAACAGAAGGGCAGTTTAATTTGTGGAAGTCTTCAGGTCACACCTGGAAAGAAATCTTAAACTGTTTTGGCAACCTCAAAGTAGTCCAAGTCAGTTAAAAGATAAGTTGGCCTGTCTATGCCTGTCAGGGAGAGAGATGGAAGGAATTGCACCTAGTGAATGTGCAAAAAGTTGCTGAAAGGAAATGCTTGCAATCTCAATTAGTTTAGTAAGAAATTTTGAAGAGCGATACTTCACTGGGACTGGAGTATGTAAAGGATATCACTGGAGGAGAGAGTTGAATCGCTTTTGCTGTTTTTGTAGAAGATCTTTCAAAATTTTTATTAAAATAAAGCAGAACAGATGTTGCACTCTTACGTGAAAACATTGACAGACTTGTGCCAACATGTTCTGTGATTAACTAGCATGGTAACCAACTTACAAAAAAAAAACTTGTAGTCAATCAAGCCAGTGTCTACTCTGGAACCAGACTTGTCTAGTACTACCATCAACTGGGATCATAAAATATCTTCAGATGAGTAATTCTGATGAGCTGAAAAAGAACAACCTTTCTCAGCTAATCGGAGGACAATTTTCAAGAAGTTTCTCCCAGATCTTTGATCCCAGATTGGAGAATGAAATGCAGAACAAGAAAGGCTCAGACAAAATAAAACTAAAATAGTATGTTGAATACAAGGAACATAAAGCAAAAAGGCAGAAAGGACAATGGGAAAAGTGAGCCAAAGTCCTTACAAAAATTTAGGTTAAAGCTTTACTTTATCCTTTCTCAGTCAGTCAATTTTACTTTCTCAATGCACAACTGATCTCTGGGGACTTGTAGTTTATTGCCAGGCTGCAGACACAGTTTCTTAGGCATTGAAAATAAACTAAAGATTTAATGTGAGCATGTTCCATTCTGAGTTCCTGGACAGCTGAAATCAACTGGGTAATTGGCTCTTCATTTACAAAAAGCTTTGAAAAGCTGCTCAACTTTCCAAAAAGGTTTAACAGTGAAACTCAAAGTTTTATTATCAGGTCAGAACTCTGGAGGAACTGTCAAATAAAAGCTCAGATTGAGAACAGAAATTAACATGTCAACAAAACATTTGATTTAAAAACAATTAAAATATAATGAAATGCTTAGTTTACCAATAACATTTTAAAGCTATCGCAACATTAGAGGATATTTCAAACTATTACAGAACAAGTTTTTAATCCGTTAGTTGATGGTGATGGAAATTTCTCTAGATATAATGACAGTCTACATTCAAAGAATTCTAATGAGCATGTCATATTTGTTCTCCAATACTTTTGTGTTTTTTATTGCCATGGTGATGTTAGTAAGGAGCATTTAACATAAATGCCCCTAGAAATCTATATAGCTAAAAGTTAATTAGAACTATAGAATAATCAAATGCTTTCATCCCACAAGGAGACTATTTATGTATCTGTGCAGGCACTCTACAAGATCAAATCAACTAAGCCCTCTTAAAAGAATGCAAGGAAGAGGAGGAGTAGGCTCTCCCAAACCCAGCTTCTCCAAATTATCACAATTCAATACTCTCATCCCTGGAAGCATTTTCAAAAATGTATTGAATCATCCTCAGAATTGGACACAGTACTTCAGGTGATGCCAAAGCAATCTATTATAAATATTGTCTTTTCCTTGCATTTCTACACTATGCCTCACTTATAAAGCCCTGGATCCTTCACCCACTATAGAATTGCATGCGGACATGTAGTACCTCAGCCATACTCATGACCATGCCACGCTGATTTTTTTTGGTCTGTAAAGTCGACCCCTCTTACTATAGTTTTCCTATTTATTGCCTATAGAAGGCTTTTTATGTTTCTTTTTAATGTTAGCTACCAGTCTCTGGTCATATATGGTTTCGTGAAATGTGCATGACAAACGTACTCAAACGTTTTGAGGATGTAACTTGTGGGGGTAGATAAAGGGGAACCAGTATTTATTACGTAGCTGGGTCACCAAAGGGAACTCTTCAACCACCTCATCATAAGTTAATGAACAATGTAATAAGTTCATGAGAAGAAGGAACAGGAATAGGCTGTTACGCTGCACCATTCAATAAGATCATTGCTGATTTGACATTCCTCACCTTCATTTTCTGCGTTTTCCCCATAACCCTTGATACCCCCAATGATCAAGAATCTATTGTTTCGTTAGCTTGCCGAGCCGGTTGTTCTGTGGTGTGCAGACGTTTTGTTACCTTTCTAGGCAACATCATCGAATCGTTGGTGTTCTGCTTCCTTCCAGATTTTTATGATCCTCTGGCATGATGGTCTTGTTGCTTCCGGTTCTGTTGTTTTAGCAGAAGTCCATATACTGGGTCTATTTCTAGGTGTTTGTTAATGGAGTCCCGCATTCAGAAACAGGCTTCCAGAAATTCTCTTGCATGTCTGGTGTTTGCTTGCCCCAGTCGAACTGATAAGCCTTCATTCTCTGTGTGTATTGAGCCAAGTGAATGTTGGTCATGTCTTTTTACTGCCAGCTGGTGTTCATATATCCTGGTCGTCAGTTACCTCCCTGTCTGTCCAATGTAATGTCAGTTGCACTCGCTGCATGGTATTCTGTATATCATGTTGGTCTTGTTTACTGTCGGTATGGGGTCTTTAGTCTTTGATAACATTTGGCGCAGTGTTGCTGCAGGTTTGTGTGCAATCAGGATCTAATGACGTCTTAGGAGTCTGGTAGTCATTTCTGATATTTTTTGATGTAGGGTAGCATTGCTAGTGTCTTCTGTTGTACCGTGTCCTCTGACTGTCGTTTGTTTTGTAGGCATTTGCGGACGAAACTTCTTGGGTATCCGTTGTCAGTGAAAACTTTGGAAGAGGAACACCTAAACAAAGTTTGTGTAGGTAATGTAAGATTAGGGAAGGTTTGTGTAGGAATGTAAGATTAGGGAAGGCTTACTGCGATTGTACAAGGTGTTGATGAGACCACATCTGGAGTGCTGAGAACAGTTTTAGTCACCTTATTTAAAAGGAAAGATATCATTTTCATGGAGGTACTTTAGAAACGGTACACCAGGATGATCCATTGTATGCAGAGAGTTTCTTATGAGCAAAGGCTAAACAGGTTGGGACTCTATTCATTGGGATTTAGAACAATGAGAGGTGAAACATATCGGATTCTTAACAGGCTAGACAGGATAAATGCTGAGCGGGTGTTTCCCCTCATAGGAGAGTCAAGGACCAGAAGGCATTGTCTCAGAATGTAGGGGTGCCAATTTAAGACTAAGATGAGGAGGAATTTCTGCTCTCAGTGGGTTGAGTGTCTTTGGAACTCCTTGTCACAGAGAACTGTGAGGGCAGAGTCCTTGTGTACATTTTAGGCTGAGGTAGTTAGATTCTTGATCACTAGGGGAAATTAATGGTTACAGAGAAACAGCAGGAAAATGGGCATGAGGAATGTCAGATGAGCCATGATTCTACGGAATGATGGAGCAGGCTTGAGGAGTCAAATGGCTTACCCCTCCTCCTACTTCTTATGGTCTTATAAAAGGAACAAAGTTAGCATGATGGCACAGCAAGTAACATGGAAAGCAAATGGCATGTTAGACTTCATTGACAAAGGGACTGCAGTACAGGAATGAGTAGTCTTTCTAAAATTGTCCAGAGGTCTGGAGAGGCCACCTCTGGAAGATAATGTGTGTCATTTTGGGCTCCATAGTTAAAGGAGAACATGCCAACATTGGAAGCTGCAAAGCCAAGACTCATTAGTTTTGTGAAAGAAAGCTCATGTTCATTCCTTTCTTTTAGGCATCCTGAGGACATACATCTTTTAACAATTACTTTTTTAAAAGTATAGTAATTGTTGTGGCATTGGGAAACTTGGTAGATAATTGTGCACACCAAGGTTTCCACAAAAACAATGACATAAACGCCCATCAACACAAGAAAGTTCCTGTGTTTCTTCACAAGCTGATGTGCAGTTCTGAACATATAATTAAGCAGGCAAATAAAGCCATGGTTTAATGAAGTGCTACATTCTAATAGGACTAAACAAGGCACACGCAAGAAGGAATGTCCCGATGACCATGAAGTCCAGAACAACAGGTCACAGTTTAAGAATATCGGTTGGCCATTTCTCTGCAACAGAATGTGGCAGAGGCCAAAACATTGAATGTTTTCAAAGAGGAGGAGTTAAATATACGCCTTAGGACTAAAGCGATCAAAGGATATGGACAGAAAGAGGAACAGGGTACCGAGTTGGATGTTGGATATAATCATATTGAATGGCAGAGCAGGCTCTAAGGACTGAGTGGCCTACGCCGTTTTTGTTATGTTTTTATGCTTCCAAGTATGGTTCGGGTAAGTAAATAGATAGAAACTACATGCAGAGAGAGGGTGCATATGATATTTCTTAATAATGCTAGAATATTTACCCATCTTTTTGGAACACAAATTTTGGGTTCTGAATGTTGTGTTAAAAAAAGATAGTCAGGACATACGTCACACTGGGAGATGGAAGAACCTTTGTCACAAGAGGTTTTCACAAGTTGCTGAAAAATTATGTAAACTCTTAATGACTCTCTAGTAATGCAGAGAGAAACATAAAATGGCAGGAAAGAAAATTAACTCTAAACACTAGGCTGCTGGATATTTACAATGTTTGGAAATAGTTATTTTATTGACCGAATACCTTGACATAGTTTCTGCTGAAAGATCATCAGCGTTTCTGGCTTTTGTATCACCTGCAAGATAAATAGGACCAGAAGTTAGATGTTTTCACTACAGATGGTTTCCTGTCTTCATACTGAATAACATATAACACATGATTTAATCCAATATATTTTAGCTACACCTTCATTTTGGGGAACTATATACATTTTGGTATAAAACCGCGGAAAATGCAAAAACTATAAACTTCAGCATGCAGCAGAAACGTAAATCCATTTTTGGAAGACTGAGGTCAGTGTCAATTTTGTAAACAGCGATCAAATCATTTTTGATAGAAAGAATACCAACACTGATTCCAAATAGTAGAGAGTTTCCATTACCAGGATATAACCAAATTTATTGGTGTCATGCAATTCCAGAGTAATTATCAGGACAATTTGAATACAGGTCAGGTTTTGAATAAAATCGTTCCAGATCACAAATATTTTGTTTCCTATCACTGACATCACTGCAGTGACCTAGTATCCAGAGAAAGGTTACTTACGAGGCATATGTAAAACATAATTATTTTGCACTGATAGAAGCAATGTACAGTCTCATTGGCAGCCTGAGTTAAACTTTACCAATGCTGCATAGGTTTCCCAAAGCTATGAAAACCTGGCAGTGAAAGGAAGGCAGAAATTGTCAGCAAAAGGGAATGCTCTAAAAAGACAAATGCCTCCATGCCCAGGAGTGGAAGTATTTTTCCAGGCCTCAAAAAAAAAACATTTGGCCTTCCCACTACTGATCACCAACCCTACATGCCCCTCTCTCCACTGTGGTCATAGCAGACATGCTGCACTAATGCTCAGGTCCTATCTTCTCCCTTCCTGCAACAGCCTTTCTTCTCCCCCAACCACCCCCAATCTTTCCATCCCCTCTTTCCCTCCTTCAAATTGCTATGGCTTTCTCTAAAGATCCCCAATTGCAGCCTTTTCTACCCCCTGCTCTCCCCACAACCCTAAGGCTGATCAAGACATCAAGCTGTCTGGCTGCTGAGTACAAAATGCAAGAAAAAAACATTATAATGAAGTCCCCAACTTTGTTTTTTCTAAGCTACAGCACAACCACACCTCGCCCATCTCCATAAATATTTAGTTTACCATGGTGAAGGTGTTTCTATCTTGAGCAGACCAGCTGGCATTTAAAAAAAAAACTTAAAAGATGTCAACTACATGACTAAAACTGAAAAGTTAAACTAAGCTTTTTTAAAAACTGGATTATTTCCTTGTTCAAAATGTGTTCCCTGGGTTTACCTTCCTGTTTAATAAAGGATCTTGCAACACTACTGATATCAAAGATTCAAAAATATTAAATTCTTCTTCCCAATTCAATTCAGTGGAAAAACCAAGGTTGCTGGTGTTTTGCAATATTTGGCAGGTTTGTCTTCACAATACCCTACACTACAGCGATACCAATTTAGGAGTAGGGCAAGGGGAAAATGTCGGTGTGAGTCCAATGGTATCTGTTCAAAGCAGTGCAATGGCTGGAAAGTTTGCCTCCTTGCATTCTGATTCCATATTACATATCAGCCAGGAGGCCACACACACACTCACACACATTAATCGCTAAAATTTTTTAACATATTATTTCAATCTAAATTACACCAGAATATTTGAAGTACTCAGATAGCTTACACTTAGTACATGATGAAAATATTTTCTCAAAATCTAGGCAATACACATGCCACATGGAGTTGAAACTGACCCAGGGGTGTTGTCAAAATCAAAACTCAATTTTTTTGCGGGGGTGCAGAAGAGAAAAGAGAAGACTATTAATTTAAAAAGGTCAAATACTTACAAAGTTCTGAGTTAAGGGCTTTGGAGCCCAATTGTGTTTTGATGGAGACCACAGGATTTAGAAAATAGAGAAAGTACTGGAGGAAATTCTGGGAACCAGAGGAAGCTCCAGTGCATGGGCACTCTAGAACTTTCAGTGTCCTGGAAAGAAACTGTTCCAAAGTCAGGACAACAGATGAGCTGACCATAATAAACTGGGATGAATTATGACTTTTAGTGACAGGTCAAAGAAATAATTGGTACAGTACAAAACCAGTATAAAACACAGTGGCTCTATTTGTGCAATTAAACAAAAACTGATACGCAAACAAATTTATACACCTTTACTGGTGCTCCTTTATCAAATTTAATGATAAACACTTAGCAGCCGGAATAAATAGCAAATAAACCTTACCATGGCTTCGTAGATCTACTGCCACAACCCTACAGTGAACTCGACTGATAATCATGGACTGTGGTTAAAAAGAACAGGTTATCATTAAGTCATATATTCCAATCTCATGTCATGAATTGCAAGTGGTGGCCTTTATGGCCATAAGTTTAAAACAACTCAGTAATTTAGTTCCTTGGACCATAAATACTGCCATACAAGTATTGTCCACAATGCAGGACAACAACAATCACAAACTTGGAGGTGAGCGAGAGAGAGAGAGAGCGAGCGAGCACAAGAGGGTGCATGAACTGTACGGCCATACAATTTAATCTCTCTCCCCCTTCCGAATACATAAATATGCATGGTGTTATAGTTCATTGAAAAATATCTCAATGTTTTGACCATTCTTCACATACAAATTGAAACAGAAAATATTAAATAGCTAACTGATGACGGATTTCACAACAAAACAGAACATTGGGTGCACCCAGAGTTCATCTATAAATATTTTTTCAAACAGGAGTCACTGTCAAGAGGAGAATACATGGCCACTCCACTGGTGTTCTGCCAAATGAGTATACACCAGGAATTTAGCTTGGGACCTTCTGGTCATTGATACAATCAGATAGAATAATACTTTAAGTAAACAAGTTGTATTCTCTCCCCAGAAGATGTTGTTATTTAACAGTTCCATTGATTCCAGTTGGCCTGGGGCATGTTGAATTAGCTTTTACGTTGAGCACCGACAAGTTAATTAATTTAGGGGAGAGGGCAGAGAGAACGTTAGATATAAGCCAGTATTTTAACCAACGTCCACTTCCATCAGTGATCAGAAGTGAACTCGGGATGATTGCTCCTTTCTTGAGTCATGTGTCACATAAGCCGAGTAATAGTTTCTCTACAAAGATCAAAAACTCTGCACAAAAGGAGGATTAAAATCTGGTCCATATTATTCATATAATGTCTTCATCAAGTGAACTATTGAGTACAATGCTTTAAAAAGTGTTGGATGAAATTAGGTTAACCTGAGGTAACGGCAATAAAATTGTACTGTATTTTTGATGGAATCTGTGTTTTCAAAGCTGGTATTTTTGAGATGGACACCAACTGGAAAATAAAGAAAACCAACCCTTGTAGTTTAAGGAAAGTGACATCAAAATTGTGAATGATAAACCAAAATTTCCAAGGACACTGAAACAGGTTAAACTTTGTTATACAACAAAGGACACAGCTCAGCATAAGTTGCGAGTCGACGTGAAGACGACAAAGGCTAGATTCTGAAGTTGAAAATAAAGCAAGTACACAGTTGCTGCAAATGCTTGTTATTTGAAAATGCGTTTGGTAAATCTATGCCATCTAGATTGAGTGGAGGTAGTTCTAGAGATGCGTGTCACTCTTAGTGAAAACTCTCCTGTGGAACTCAAGGTTGTCTGTCAACTGCAGACCAAGTTAGCTCCAAGCTGGAATTCTCCACAAGAAAGACAATAGTTTTGAAGGATTGATTGCATCACTTGGGATTAATGACTTACACATTAAGTGAATTAAGGCAATTTGGGGATCTGCCCTAGTTTCATCTGCCAGAAATGTATAATGTATAGTTTATAAATTGACCATAACTTCCCTGTTACTTCATATTCAATTTGGCTGGTTCAGTTTCAGTGTCTAGGTGGCTACCAAGATAGTACTCAGTTTTTTGCTTTGCTTGATTCTTGTATAACAAAAAACTTTTTTTTTTAAAAACAGTGGAATCTTATGGCTTTATTCTTCCAGCAAATGACTGATGTTTCTAATAGAGTACAATACAGCACCTAAAATAAACATAGTATGTAGAGCCAGCAACATTCCTAAATCAATACAAAAACAAATGCTGGAGAAACTCAGCAGATCTGGTAGCATTTGTGGACAGAGAAACAGAGTTGACATTTCAGGAAAATGGCTCTTCTTCCGAAGAGAAGGGGGCTGGAAAATGATGTTTTTTAACATTAACAAAGGAGGAAGAACAAGTGGGACAGATAGTGGGGGTGCCTGAACAGGAGTCAATTAGCATGAAACATTAATTCTCTCTTCACACATGCTGCCAGAAGAGCTGACTTTCTCCAGCATTTTGTATTTCACTTCAGTTCGATATAGCATTGTTTACTGTGTAATCAGTTAAGACTGGTGTTCTGAAATACCAAATTATTCTAGCGTCAAGTGTGACAGTTTTCACAAACAGAATTTACGGGCGCTTTCCATCCATAATGTCTACAGACCCAAATACACAATGGCAGTCGCTGGCCTCTACCAAACATACATTAAGCATCTTTCTACTCAATTATAAGAGCACAGAAGAGTAAGCCAATACATCACTAGAGTTGCAGTAACACCTACAGAGGACAGGAATACAGGGAATTCAAAAACTGCATGTGGAAATCTGTAACTTACACTGTAATTATTGCACCACTTAGAGCTGCAAGCATATGCCAGGTAAACACTGTAGGTTCGGCTTAAGCACACTTACAACCATATCGTCCTCTTTCCCCGGTCAAAATGTTTGTCCATATATTACTCTATTAAATATTGAGGCATGCATTTTTGTTATTAAGCATATAACTCTGAAAGTAAACTATATTATGCTTCACAAATGCCATAATCAGATGTTTAAGTAGTTATTTCAGCACCATTTTGATGGCAGAGTCAGTTAAGATGAAAGTGAACTTGTTTTTAGATGAGGCATCTAAGCAGGTCAAATTTTAAGTTAAAAAGTAAATGCATACAAACCAGTAGTTCTATACTCATTTCTATTAGCCAGCCCCGTAAATACTGAACATGGCAAAATACTGCCCATAACATCTTTAAAATATTCATATTTGGCCTCAGGAAAAGTACCTCTGATTCAAACTACACTATATGAGAAACAAGTGGAGACAAAAAAAAACTTATTTTAAAAATCTTAAGGAATAGACCTGTAAAGCTAAAATGTGCTCAAAAATGGATCAACAATAAACTAACAAAAACTTAATGACAGGCTTAATTTAAACAAATACAAAAAAGTTTCTAAGAAAGAAGAAAAACATTATACACCTGTTTCCTGATCACAGATTTATGGTGCTGCACAAGTCTGACCTCTACCGTATATGCTCCATCTTAAGGATTCTGGACATGCAGAACATGATAACAAGAGCCAAACAGATTTTTTTTTTTTTTTTTTTAAATCTCTACAGGGTCTTAGGAACATGTTGGGGGTTGAATCATACCAGTCTGCTCTGACAAATCTCAGCAGCTGAACAAAACACATTACCAGTCGACTGGGACACGACTACAGGCTAATCCCTGGCTGTAACTGGTTTTGGAGCATTGTTGGAAAATAAAAATGCACTCCTAATCAAGAACACAACAGAATCACTTTGTCACCCTTTCCTAGCTGTGACATTCAAACATTAATATGACCAAAATATGGGGGGAAAAAATTGTAATAAGGCATCACAGAATGTACAATCTTTTTCTTAAATCGGTGTCTTATATGACGTTGCAAATTAGAAGATCCTCAAACGGCAGAATTGTTCATGCGCAATGAAACACTACAAATTGCGGTTCAAGTAAATCGATGGAAACCATTTCAAAACTATATGATGTTACAGTGCAATAATTTGCACGTCCAAGTTTAATTTTAGAATTTAAGTCATTTTCATTCCTTCTCTTATCCCTAAACTCATTATGTAATAACAACACACATTTACCATTTAGACACATGCTTAAAGCAACAGCCTAATCTTGCAGTTGATATGAGATGAAACCACATGCAGATCTTCGAGTTGACATCATGATTTTTTAAAAACTCTTAATATGATGAAGTGAGAACATGAGTTAAGCGGCAAATTGCAATGGTTCCATCACCTGGCTAATTACATACAGTTGAAATCAAATCAGAACGGCCTTAGTACAAAGAACTCAATTCTGATGGTCTATTTATCTATTCATTTGATGGAGTACCCAATCTATAATTTTTAAAAGGTCATGAACGAAACTGAAGAAGTCATTTGAAGAAGTCATTTTAAGAAGTGATTTTAAAAAAAAATCAGTGATAACTTGGGAGAAGGACTGTACATTGGACAGAGCTAGCAAGAACTAGTGAAGGGATAGGTAGTGATAGTGATGAGGACAGGGCGCAGAGCAGGAGAAAGCAGCAAAAGGGGTAGTGAGTGGGACAAAGTAGAGACAGGCAGTAAGCAAAGCAGTAGTTTGCTTTAAATACAGGCTTGAGCATGTGTAATTACACCACAGCTTAGGCATATATGCACTAAACTAAGCCAAAATGAAAATGGAGGCTGCATTTTGTTGTTATTTACAAACTGCGCTAAAATGAAAACACATTATTAGAAAGCACTTTAAATGGGGGACACCTGTACATAATGAACAGAAATAGGGAACATACAGATGCAATGTGGGTCAGTCTTGCTTTTGTTTCAATAATGAGCAAATACGAATGGTTTCTTGCTGTGCAGTAAATCTCATTTTGCAATTTCCACACTGCATTTTTCTTAAAATTTGCAATTACTTACAGTGAATACAGCCCAGGAGAGTGCTGAATGGCCTCCACCATGCAATAACAAAAGAACAGGCCCATCAGATCCACTTTTGTAGATTCGAAAAGAGTACAAGTGGTTAAGGTTTATTTGCAATATAAAATTAGGGTAATGTAAAAGAATTTATATACTAGATGGACTTAAATAGCTTTGCCGTTAACAAACATGACAGATTTGTAACTTTCTCAAAAGCATTAGAAATTTGTTAGAATATTGCAGCCAGTGAATCACACATGTCACACTATAGATAGATTAAAATGAGTGGGCAAAACTGTAGCAGATGGAGATCAATGTGGGAAAGTGCAAACGAAATTTAGATCCAGAAAAGCTGGATTAGAGTACTTACAGGATAGTGAGAAGGTAGAAACTATGGTTAAGCAGAAAAATAAAAAGATCCTTGCACAGAAATCACAAAACAGTCTACAAAAAAAAAATTAAAAGGTTAATTAAATACGAGGCCTTTATCTAAAGGAAGCTGGAATACAAAGAAGTGGAAGTTATGTTACAGAGCACTAGTTATACACTGTTTTGCATTTAGTTCTGGTACCTCACCATACATGCTGCTCTGAGTGCAGTACAAATTCAACAGATTGACACCAGAACTAAAGGGTTAAATTACGCAACTGGTTGTTCCTTAGTGCATTCTCCACGGCAATGCTCCATCTAATCCATGAAATTATTTTTCTCATGCAATTCAAACTGTTGCTCCCTATGACTTTTGGCATTCTTGCATCTGACCTGACTGCAAAATGAAAAGCTTCAACAGCATCCTTAGACTTTTCAGCAATCCCCAAAACTTGTTTATTTGCCCATGAATATAGAAGATTGAGGGAATTTCTAATTGAGATGTATAATATGATCAAAAGATAGGGTAGAAATTGCAAAATGATTTCCTCCATAGGTGATTCCAGCACAAGGGGGTAATAATTTCAGAATTAGAGTTAGGCTGTTCAGGAGAAATGTTAGAAAGTATTTCTTCACACAAAAGGGTAGTGGAGGTCTCTACTCTAAAAGGATGTTGAGATTTTAGGTCAAAGATCTGTCCTGATTTCACAGAAATACTGTTCTCAGCACGCTTGTCACCACCAGGAATATTTTAAAATCAAATTACACATCTCAGTACATCACAAATGTAAAACATGAGGAAATTTTAATTTTAATTTTAATACTTTCTCAGCTAAAATATTAATTATATTAATATCCAAATTATCCTTGAGATATTATAAAGTACTTGCTCTAAATAAAAGGACACAAACTCATAACTATGGTTTCCCAACCCTTTGCTCATCATTTTAGAGAAGCTACAATAATTCTAACGTGGACCTTTCCATTCATCCGTAACCTGCACATTTGACATGTAGGATTTCTGGTTTTTATTTTCACCAACATTTTATCAAATTTCGCATTTTGTTGATCATTTGTTTTTCCAACATCAATACAGAGAAAAATAAAAGGAACTTAAAAAAAGACAATTCACTTGAAAAATGAAACTGAATGATGTAACTCTTGGTCACAAGCCTCCTGCTATGAGTGTGGGAGCAGATTATTTGAGAAATTGAATTTATATGGTACTATACTTGAATGGTTGCTGTATTAGCAACTGGATTGTAAGCTCTACTTGCATCCACGGCAATTTGTAACATAACCAGAAGACGACCACATAAAACACTGGACCTTTGTAACAACCAACTGATGCAAGACGGAAGCATGTAATCCCCATCCACTTTGGCCTATAGTACCTTTAGACTCACACAGACAGAGACAACTTGGTTGATTCTTAATGTCATCATACAGAGAGACATGAAATACAGGCAGTTGTTATGTTGTTTTATACATCTAACCTTATTCATAAATTTGCTTTGAAGTAGTCAAATCCAAAAAAAAAAACTTGATGCATATTTCAGTTTGCAAATCCCTTAAATTGGTCCCCCAATTGTTATTCAACAAATGTAAAATCACAAATTAGTTTTGTTTAATATTTTAAAACATATTTTCTCAATGTGAACACATTACATTCTCTAACTGGCAACCCCACCAACATAAAACTGTCACAATCCTGCCCACTGATATTAGATATTGGTGCTGGATGTGAACGCCTTCTTTTGCAAATTTAATCATAAAGTTCACATTGTAATGCCAAGTGAGGCATTGCAGATTTTGAAGAAAATGATTTTAAATTTGAAAGTAATTAGAGGTCAGCAAGAACGAGAATAATGACTGGCAGATCTAGTGTGCAATAGGATACAAGTCAAAGTGCATTCTGGACAAGCTCATAAAAGGTTTATGAGCCTTTCGTCATTTTAGGTAACAAAGGCATGGCTGAACTACCAATAAATATAGAGGTATTTAATGTTATTTGAACACTATTCAATCCAATCCTTTTTATACATAAAAAAGGTCAGATAAAGTACCTATAATTGCAAACAAAAGTAGTGCATTTAAAGTGAATGCTTCAATTCAGCACAAAGTTTTATAGTATAAATTTTCACATATTGTACTTTAAAAAGATATGTCTTTGCTTGTTCCATTTGTAATTAGGACATCTTCCATCGTTTCAAAGTAATGATTCCAGGCCACAGGGGAAAAATCCCGCTTTCTTCCAGGGCTGCAACAAAGTGACACAAACCATCAGCTGAAAATAGAATTCAATGCATTACATGCAGTTTTAGTATACATTTAATCCATTGAGGGCTCTGTTCATGTTACAGTTACATACAAGATTTTAAAAGTTTAATCTTAAGAATAATCAAGGTGTAGGAAAAGGTATTTTAGCAGACTTCTCAATATTCAGAGATCAGAGGCAATAGGAAAACATCACTTTGTCCCATGTTAACTCCACCTTCTGAAAGTCACAACTAAAATGATTTACTTCTCTAGCATTATGCTGAGCACTGTACTGATTTTTGGAAATATATAAAGCACTACCAATCTCAAACTTACAGTTTTGAGGGGACGAGCTACCTCCAGTTAACATGTGGAGGGACTGGTATTGGCTGAATTATGCCTGAGGATTGCTGGCAAATGGAACAAAAATTGATGTGACTTGAATAGGCAGAGGTCAATGGAATGAGTATTCATTCAACCATCATACCACATGAAGGAAAGAAAAAGCAAAATTATATTATAAAAATTGCAACTTGAAACACCTTTAATGACTACCAGATTTCTCAAAGTACTTCACAGCCAGTGAAATACCTTTTGGCAGACTATTCGTTGTATTGAAATACAGGAAAGGCTCCAGCCAATTTGCAAGCTCCCAAAAGCATGTGATAATGACTAGGTAATCTGTTTTTGTCCAATTAAAGGATAAATATTGCCCATTCCACAGTGAATAGCCCCCCTGCCCTCTTCCAAAAATTGGGGGTTGGGTGGGGGTGTTCAGTTTAATGTCTCTTCTGAAAGAAGCTACTTCCGACACTGCAGACTCCCTAAATATGGCACTACTGCAATGACATGTTAGTCTTCTGATTTTTGTGTTCAAGTCTTGAAGTGGGACCAGAACATACTGACTCAGAGGCCAGAGGGCTACCAAAATGAGCCAAAACAGTCAGGATAGCAAAAAAAAAATGAAAAATGGGACACTCCAAGTTAATCATGACATTCCATATCCGAGAACATCCAATCACTATAAGAAATTCAATACCATCCATTAATTAACAATAAAGCATGGTATTTAATATGTGATTGGGTAAGCATTCTAGCCTTTCACCTTCAAGGCCAAGGATCAAACCCACACTGGAAGCCTTCTCTTTCTGTTGACTATAAATATCTGTTATGAAGTAATTTTGGATAATCTCCACTCACTTCTTTGTGGGATTGAAAAAAAAGCATAAAACTGCCCTTTCTTTTGCAATCTCACTCAGGGGACATAGCGGTGGTTGACAAAGACTATGAAATCATCACAAATTGGGTAGAATAAGGGATCTTTATAGCAATTTGGTCATGCTTAATGCTGAAATAGAAATGCTTTTCATTGGCCAATATTGATACAGGAAACATAAATCACCATTTGAAGTGCTGGATGCTTTTTATAACTCTAAGTAGGTTTTAGCAGCTGACTCACTAGTCTGCTTATGGAATTATATCACCATGCTACTGCTGTAACACGTTTCTTAGCAGGACACATTTTATAATAAACAAAAGATCTAATTAAATGTGTTATTGGCATTTGAGGCCAAAAATCCAACTTGGAAAATTTTTGATGATACAATACAGTTTAAAAAATTAAGCTTCTCCCAATGATTTTAAGAACCAATTATCCATAAAATGCATCAGTCCCTCCATACAATCAAATCTAATTTCTTAATTTGTCTTATTTCTTATAATCCAGCTGAATGTGTCAACTGCAGAATTTCTAGCTTACTCACAACAAAATTGTGTGGGAAACAAAATGAGTAGGTGGACAATGTGATCCTTCTGAAACTTGACACTTGGTCTAATAATTAGAAGTTATATTTAATGCGGAAAAATACAGGGTCATATAAACTATAGGCTCAAAAGATTTCAAGAAATTAAGTTACACTGTGAATGAAGAAGTTTAATGAGTTGAAAATGGAAATAGAAGTAGTTACAAACACAAAAATCTTTGCAAGTATATCAATTTGAGTCATACATTAATAATATCCGCTAAATGATTTGAAATCCAAGAATCTTTATGAATTCATGCGAGTAATACCACTCTATGGATACGGCAGCTAGTCACGATGCAATTTGCAATTAAGAAAATAGGTAGGGTCAAACAAAAAAAACATTTATGCTGCTGAGCTATGAATGTAGAAGAAAAGAACTGAGATTGCTCAAATGTAGAAAAGGGATTGAATGAATAGAGGGCTCATGCTGTTAAGGGAATAGAGTCAAATAAAGTGCAAGCTGATGAATGCACTGAACTAAATCTACAATATAAATTTATAGTTGAAGTGAAGATATAACGGATCATTAGCTAATCTGTGAATATTTTGAATCTCCAAGCATTCTGGTTTCAAGTCAGAAAATCTCACCATGCATTATTCCAAAAAAAAAATGCAAACTATTTGGCTTTCCATCTCCAACCTTGTCATTTAACTTCAGCTTGTTACAGGAACGTTTTTTTCATTGGTTTCCCCACTATTCAGGACATATCTATAGTATCTGTTCCTGTAGACTCTGGAAAATTTCCTACAGATTGGAAAGTAGCTAATGTAACTCCCTTATTTAAGAAGGGAGGTAGAGAGACATCTGGGAATTATAGTCTAGTCAGCCTGACATCGGTAATGGGGAAAATGCTAGAGTCCATTACAAAAAAATTAACAGTTGAACATTTAGAGAACAGGGGCAGAACTGGACAGAGTCAGCATGCATTAATGAAAGGAAAACCATACTTGGCAAACCTGCTAGAAATCTTATGAATGCAACTAGTAGACTTGATGAGGAGCCACCAGTGGATATGGTGCGTTGGACTTTAAGAAGGCTTTCAACAAAGTCCCACAGAAGAGATTAGTGTGTAAAAATAAAACACATGGGATTGAGGATAATGTAGAAATAGATAGAAAACTGGTGACAAGAAACAAAAGGTTAGAAATGAACAGGTCTTTTTCCAAATGGAGAGTAATGCCTAGTGGAGAATACAGGGATCACTGCCAGTATCCCAGGTATTCACAATATATATATATTAATGATTTGGGTGAGGGAATTAAATGTAATATCTCCAAATTTACAGATGACACAAAGATGAATGGGATGATGAGCTGAGGATGCAGAGACGCTTCAGCGAGATTTGGACAAGCAGAGCAAGTGTCCAAATGCATAGCATTACAATACATGCAATATAATGTGGATAAATCTGAGGCTATCCACTAGGTTAACAAAATCAGGAAGTCAGATTATTTGATTGTCTATAAGTTCAGAGAGTTGAATGTGCAATACAACCTGGGTGTCCTGATACACCAGTCGCTGAAGGTAAGCATGCAGCTGTAGCAGACGGTAAAGAAGACAAATGACATGTTGGCATTCATAGTAAAGAGATTACAGCACAGGAGCAAAGATATCTTGCTGCATTAATAAAGGGCCTAGGTGAAACCACAGCTGGAATACTGTGCGCGGTTTTGGCTTCCTTATCTAAGAAAAGATGTTGCTTCAGAAGGAGTGCAGCAAAGGTTCACCAGATTGATCCTGGGATGGCGGACGGACATCTGAGAGGTTGAATCGGTTAGGATTATATTCGCTGGAGTTCAGAACAATGAGGGGGAAACTGCACATAGACCTATAAAATTCCAACAGGACTAGACAGTGTAGATGCAAAGAGGATGTTCACAATGGCAGAGGAGCCCAGAACAAAGAGTCATAGTCTGAGGATAGGGGGTAAACAATTTAGGACTGAAAAGAAGAGAAATGTCTTCACCCAGAGTGTGGGAAGCCTGAGGAATTTGCCATTAGAGAAAGCAGCCCAGCCAAAAAGAAGGTACAATCTCAAGAAGCAGCTGGATATAGCACCTTGGTACTAAAGGGAGCAAAGGATATGGAAGGAAAGTACAAACTGGGTATCAAGTCGCATTATCAGACATGATCATAACAAATGGTTGAGCTGGTCTGAAGAGCCGAATGGACCATTCCTGTTCTTATTTTCGATGTTTCAATGTCCGAACTAATTCTGCACATCCCAGATTATGGAACACTTAACCGAGGTTCCTGTTATCTTCAAAATTTTTTCTGATATTCCTTTCCAAAGTCTAGTCTCTTTTCTATTTTCCCTAACTTAAAATTCTTTGTGCTAACAGAAGCCTTACATACCTAAAACAAAATAAAACAAAGAACTGCGGGTGCTGGAGATCTGAAACAAAATCAGAAATTGCTGTAGAAACTCAGCAATTCCAGCAACATTTATGAAAAGAAAACAGAGTAAATGTTACGGATCAGTGACCTTTCTTCAAAACTCCACAGATGCTGCCATAAGTGCAGAGTTTCTCCAGCAATTTCTGTTTCTTTCATGATTTCAGAATGCCCTGATGTGTTACAGTCACAAAGTACTTTTGAAATATAAAAACTGTGGTTATAATATAGGAAATATGGCAGCTAAGATTCCAGAAACAACTAAAATGAATGTTTCAGCTGTTGGTTCAAAAATATACATGGGCAACGGCATCAAGCAAATGCCAGCTCTTCTTTAAATGAATCTTTAAAAATGTGCACTTCATTTTTCATGTTTCCTTCTACATTTCACTTGATGGATTCCTTTCACTAACAGAGAAAGTTACAGACCAACGTTTGGATATGTCACTTCATTCCCTGGGCTTTAGAGATAACGGAGTACTGGGTAAAGCACAAATACTGACTGACTTGATAATCGGTTGATAAATCTCAAATTCAAAATGTCACCATGTCCCTTATCCTCCAAATCTTGTATCCTCAAATTCTTTTACACCAGATTAATACAGGCAAATTTTACATAGCCCTTTTGAAGGCTGTCTTCATACATTTTTATAAAAACTGAACAAATCTAACAATATCCTAACAAAGTACCACATAATACTGATCAGAAAAATATAACTGCAAATTAGCAAAACAAAAAAGTTAAGGTATATTTAAAATCTGAGAAGCAATCACACTGTGTAGTAAATAATGAATCTGTATACCGTTTTGATATGGATGTTGTAATTTCTGTGCAACTTCAGCTGAAGCTGTAGAATCAGAGGGATACCGCACAGTCAGACCATGCACCTACTGCATTTGTGCTGGCTGTTTGAAATTGGTATTCGATTGTCCATCAGTAATATTTCCCATAGCCCAGTATTTTTCTTTTTCAATTATTTACCTGGTTATCTTGTGAAAGTTGATTTTGAATCTACTTCTGCCATTCTTCCAGACAGTGCATTTCAGATCATGAATACCTCCCTGCCTTTTTTTTGCTTCATGCAGCCTCAGATCTCAGGTAATTGGTGGTTGCAAACAGTTTCTCTTTATTACTGTTATCAAAATCCTTTATAATTTTGAACACACCTTACCAAATCTTCTTTTGTAGAAAGCAAGAAGATTGCAGCAGGAGAAGGCCATTGGGCCCTTCGAACCTGCTGCGCCATTCTTCATGGTCATGGCTGATCATCTAACTCAATAGCCTAATCCTGCTTTCTCCCCATAGCCTTTGATCCCACTCACCCCAAATACTATATCTAGTCGCCTCTTGAATACATTCAATGTTTTGGCATCAACTCCTTCCTGTGGTAAAAAAATTCCATAAGCTCACCACTTTTTGGGTGAAGAAATGTCTCCTCATCTCCATCCTAAATCGTCTACCCTAAATCCTCAGACTGTGACCCCTGGTTCTGGACACACCCACCATCGGAAACATACTCCCTGCACCTACCCTATCCAGTCCTGTTAGACCCTGTTCTAAGTGGAATAATGTCTGTTCATGTGCTCTTTTCACATAACTGATGGCTTCTTTCCTTGGTAAAGCTCATCTGTAGAATAGAATAGAATCCCTACAGTGTGGAAACAGGCCCTTCAGCCCAACAAGTCCTCACCGACCCTAGGAGCATCCCACCCAGACCCATCCCCCTATAACCCACCTAAGGTGCACACCCCTGAACACTACGGGCAATTTAGTATGGCCAATCCACCTAATCTGCGCATTTTTTGGACTATGGGAGGAAACCGGAGTACCCGGAGGAAACCCACACAGACATGGGGAGAATGTGCAAACTCCACACAGACAGTCGCCCGAGGGTGGAATCGAACCTGGGTCTCTGGTGCTGTGAGGCAGCAGTGCTAACCACTGACCCACCGTGCCGCCCCTATTTGTTGTAATTTGTTGCTATTTTGTAAAGTGTCGTATTTTGATGCTGGTGATTTAAAAAGATACGCTGTCTACAAAGCAAACAACAAATAAAATAAAGTTAACAGTTCAACAAAGATCTGGCTGAATGATGCATTTCATGAGCTATGCCTTCCATTGAAGCTGGTTCTTTCCAATGCAGCGTTGATACCAAGATTCCAGTAAAGTATGCGGTAGATGAAAATTTAATATTACATGGACAGTGTAAAAATCAAATTACAAGTCGCGCATTCCAGGTATGCACAGATGCCAAAAATAGCATTTTAACTTAAGGACCAAGCATTACTCTTTACATACCCATCACTGTTGGAAACAATTTAAGATAACGTATTCCACAAAATGTATGTTGGGAGAGCCTGAAGCAGGCTTTTCCATCATGTTTTGGTATCAGTGTGGTTAAAAAGGCTAAACGACACTGCTGCATTGTTCTTGTTGGTGTCAACAGACTTTTTAAATAATTGGATTATTGAATTTTAACTTCCATCATCTGATTGTTATAACCAAAGATTTTTCATAGCTGAAATGTTTTTTATGAATGAACGAAATATGAACTGGTTTGCACTGGTCACCTGACAGATCTCAAACCTTGTCTCAATCTGAGCAGAATAAATAAGTCATCACCACTGAAATTACCATTTTGTCCAAAGACATCAAAACCAGGCAACTAAATCAGCATCAAGAAAATCAAATCTCTTCTTCACATTTTATGAGATGAAAAGCTCACCCTCCAGTTAACCACTTTAGAAAGAAAATGGATTCAGGCTCCAGATTACACACTGAACTATAGTTCAACAACAGCTTTTGAGGACCCGAATAGACAGAAGGAAAAACGGAACTATAAACAAGAACTAGAAGACCTTCCTTGTTCATTCTCTCATCATTTCAGAAAACAGCAGCCAGTTAAAAACCAAATGGGGAAACAACTAGTTAGAGAATTCAGATACACACACAAACAACAAATAAAAGCCTCAGGTTAAACAATCTCAAGTACTCCATGAACCAGACACTCTCCCCTTTAAATGTAGCATTAAAATTATTGTTCTTTCATTCAAGAAAACAGGAAGAGTGTAGGTGTGAGGGATTGGTAATTGATTGTTGAAAAGAAATAGGGCAGTTGAATCATCTTCTCATCTAAAACAATATATCATGGTAAGCAGTGAGACACAAACTTTTTAGGTGCATATTAAATGAAGATGTTCCAAAATGAATGCTACTCTAATGAATGGTATAAATTAGATTCAAAATCAGATTTCTTCATAAAGATTCAGCCTCAACCAGAATACCAATCATTTCAGTTCACCTCAAAGACCATCCCACATAAATAATCATTAAAAAGCTTCCCTTTTCTAGCAAAATTGGGATGGTCTATTTAAATTGATTATGAATAAAACACAATAAAAACATTAGAACAGTTAAGTGACAAAAGACTTAAATGATACACGTCTTACTGTGCTACTTGTCACAGAAGTGATATCGACAGAATCAGTTAATACTGAAACACACAAGGGTCAAAATATGCAAAAACAATCCTTTAGCAATCTGCTCTGTCACTGTTGCTAATTGAGAACATAAGAGATAACAGGAGTAGGCCATACAGCCTCTGGAGTCTGCTGCACCATTCAAGATTGATCTGATCTTCGTAATGACTCTGTTTACATGCCGGCTGCCCATAACCCTCAACTCTCCTATAATCTTTTCACCTCAGCATTTGACATATTCAATGACTCAACCTCCAGAGCTCTCTGTGATAGAGAATTCCAATAATCATGATTCTTCGAAGGTTCACTCCTCATTTTTGTTTTAAAGAGGTAACCCCTGAATGCTGAAATTATTCTCCCCAATTCTAGATTCTGAAAATAGAACTAAAATGGCATTGATTGAGATATTAATTCTGTTTATCTCTCTAGAGTGTTTCCAGCATTTTCTGTTTTTATTTCAGAAATCCAGAAATGACAGTATTTTGCTTTTGTCATAAAGTATTCCCTTTATATTGCTCAATCACAAGCTGTATTTAGCATGTATTACAGATAAAAACTGAATTTTTCCACTTACATTTTAAAAAAAATATTAATACTACACTTTGCTTTAAAAAGGAGGAAGAAAGCATCAATCCGTGGGTCGTACTGAAGTCCATACTGCAAGCAATTAAAAAAACTAAGTTAAACTTGCATCATCCGTCCTACTCGTCTCTGTTGAAGAGATGTATTGAAATGACAAACAAGGTTAAGCTTATTTAACTGTACGTTTACACGATATATGACAGGCGATTATTAAAAAAATCTCAAAATCAACCAAACTACAAAAAAAACCATAGTTCCGTTTGGTTTAAAATCACCTCAAAAACTGACTGGGCGTACGCAGTCAGCAGGAAAACGAACAGAAACCACGGTTTGAATTTAGAAACCTTTCATGCACACTAACCCCATTCTCATTTTAGCTCCAGGCTGGGGACCTGACGGCATCGGTGGTCGCGAAGGCAATCTGCTCAAGAACAATTCTTTCTCTAAAGAAGACATGCTTCATAGACATAAATTGTTTTAAAAGAATGAAATTAATAATCTTCTCAGGTTAATGCCGCAGCTCTTCAAAAGCGGCTGCTCCGGTCTTGCACTTATGGGCGCCACATAAACACCAAAGTATCCTCGCCAATAGTGAACACTGGAATTAATATAAATTTTTAAAGTCCTGTCAATATTCCTGAAGATGGCCTACTCCTCCGATAAGAGAGGCGGTTGTTGCACAGTTGCCTCGCTGCTGGGACTTGTAGTCCTCCCAGTGCCCGTTGTCACAAACTAGACACTGTACCGCAGAGCGAGAGGACTACAATTCCCATGATGCCATTCATCACATTACGTAATGGCTAACCAGCACCCGGATATCTGTTTAGTATTGTGGAAGTTATAGGTTTTATATTTAGATTCCGGCGCACCGTTGCTCTGGTTACCAGTTTGAATTTTAACGGAAGTTTTGGTCCTGCCAGCTGCTTGATGGCTGCTTATTGCCATCATGGGGGCGGGGAAAACGAACAATTCTGCATAAGTAAAAGAAGAGTACTGCGGATGTTGGAAATCTGAAACAGACACGGAAAATGCTGCAGAAACCCAGAAGGTTTCGCAGCATCTGTGCAAAGAGGAGCAGAATTAACATTTCGAGTCCAGTATGACTTCTGCAAAACAGTGTCCGCATTGCTGTTTGAACTGGCTCAGTTAATTTAGAAGTTAGTCGAATTTGAACAGAACACAATCTAAATCATATTATTGCCCACGATGAGTGATTCCAGATACTGTATTCCCTGCTGTGCACACTCGTTACAGAATACCCGTTATTTTCCATGCGACACCTTTCACTCAAATTGTGAGATGCCCAATAGTGCAGACAGGATGCCCAGTGTGAACGTGGGCTTTCCAATAGGTTCTCCCAAAACCAGCAGCAATGGAAGCAAGGCATATCTGAATAGATGTGGAGATTGCACTGCACCAGCCTAAACAGGAGGGTGAAGGGAATTTCCAAATGACAGCTATGATGTTGCAAATTTTGATTATTCTACTCACAGATAAGAAAAAGGAGCAGTCTTTTAAGGCTCTCAATCCTGCTATGCCATTCAACACAATCCTACATTATCTTCTGCCACCCTTCTTATTTTTTGCCTGATCCAATTATCCTAGATTTCTAAAAAAAAAACTAGCCCGAAACGTCAGCCTTCCTGCTCCTATGATGCTGCTTGGCCTGCTGTGTTCATCCAGCTCTACACCTTGTTATCTCAGATTTTCCAGTATCTGCAGTTCCTACTATCTCTAGCCATCCTAGCTATTAATTGCTTCATTTTAAGGTAGTTAGGTAATTGGCAACAAAACGTTTGAAGAAAATGTATCAAATTTTACCTGTTTTAAATGTTAATTTTGAATTGCTAATTGCTTCTAAATACCTTCTTGTAAGTTAATCACCCCAGAAAGTCTAATAATTAGCATTAACAGGAAATATATTATTATGAAACGATCACTCAGTCACTAACTTTACAGAATTATTAAGGTGCAGAAGGATCGTAATCAGCCTTTCGTATGTCTGCACTAGCTAGAAGATGATGAAGCAAACGGCTCATTAAGATTTATCAGTGAAAGTCATTACATTAAAGGGAGATGATACAAAGTCATGTATGACAAAATCCATTTGTCCATTTCCATTTGTGCCATGTAAACCAACAGCCTGTGGAAATTATACCAAAAGCAGAGGATGTTCCACCATTCATTACATTGATTCTGCCCAGTATTATGTCTATTTTAAAACAAAAAGTTATTGTTTTCTTAAACAATCATGACATAAATTTGGTTGCCTCATCTTGGATTGTAACAAATGTCATTGGTCTAGTAATAGAAAGACCCAGGCTAATGTCTTCAGGACATAGATTCAAATCGCATCAGAGCAGTTGGTGGAATTTAAAGTAAATTAATAAAATTGGAATTGAAAGTTAGTATCAATAATGGTAATTGTGAAACAAACCATTCATTATCATGAAAATACAAAACCTGGTTCCTAACTGCCTTTCAGGGAAGAATATCTTTCATCCTTACATGGTGTAGCCTACATGTGACTCCACAATAATGTTGTTGACTTTTAACTGCCCTTTGAAATGGTCCAGTAAACCACTCAGTTCAAAGATATTTAGAGATGGGTAACAAATGCTGACTAGTGATATTTACATCTCTTGAAATAATAAACAAAAGTATCTCAGATTTCTACTGATTAGGAAACATAATAAAAGATATTAGGATGCGATCATTGTCACGATCCCAGTTGATGTTATTGCTGAACAAGTAATCTGGCTTGACAGATTTTATTTGACAAGATAGTCCATCACTGGAACACAAGCACTGCAGATCTGGTTTTGACAATAAACAGAAGTTTACTACAGCAAAGAAAAAATGGAATACACCAAGCTCTAACAAATGACACAATTTAAAAGATTTCAAAGCACTGTAAAAATACAATCTGATGTATCCCAACAGTATCCCATTATAGTACTCAAACATCAGATAGAGTTCTCTTCTCTATTACATCTATAGTTTTGACTTGACTGTTGCTTTCAATTCTCATTTTTGACAGTTTGATAGTTTCTTCCCAAAGTATTCACATTGATGAGTTTAAACTTCCTCGATTTTGAATAGCCTCTGCAGGATTCCAAACATTTCTGCTCTGGAATTTTCAATCTAAAATTTTTACACTGATCTAACCTATTTCCAAATTGTTCTAAACTAACTCATTTCTCTAGGAGAAACTATTACAAACATCCAACTTCAACGAGGACTTCTGCAAACTGAAACTAAAAGTTTTCCAAGCTATGTTCCCTAAGCAAAAGAAAAATCAATTCTTGACGCTTCTTACTGAAAGCAGACTAATCCTCTTCAACATAAAACTTGTCTTAAAACTGACCCAAATGCAAATAAAAAATTCCATTAGCATTCCATCTCTAAAACCATGGCTGCAGAAATTCTGACAGGCTAATCAAAGACACAGACCAAAACCAACATGTCACTAGTTCAAAATCCAAACAAGTTATATTACAATATATAGATCACACATTTTTCTTCACACCATTTTAATGTTTGTTTTTCCCCTCCCTACCCTACTCATACATTTAAATCTATTTATATTTCAGAAAGGCATAATGAAACAATTTTTCACATTTTAGAACATATTTGGCATATATTGGTCTCCTACTCTGAGAAATTCAGGTAAAACATCAAGGTTTACAGTGCAGTGAATTTGAAAAAAATAGAAAAGAAGGTGACCTAAAGCAAACATTAGTTATTAAGTGTAATGATATAAGCAATCAGAGAATTTTAATACTGGAACTTTTTTTTGTAAGTTTGCTCAGAAGAGAAAGACAACCACATTTGGTGTGATAGATCATTCCATGAGTTAATTAGTCTGAAGTATGATGTAATTACAATAACATATATAAGAGGAGATTGCACCTTCATACATTTTTGTTGTCAAGTGCCATTGTCTTAGATGGGCCATATGACCTTCCTAAACTCATAATCACGGTTTCGGCAGGATTAAAGCATACTAAATGAAACAAGTTGACTTGATTTACCAAAGGTACTGGCACAGCAACTCACTTCTAATGTGGATGAGTCACTACTGACTACATGCTTTGGTTTTGAATGTAGGTACGGTTTGTTCGGGGCCTACCATATCCTCAGTTTTAATTATGCCTCAAAATAATTGATAACACACATGAACTTCATACCCCTCTTCCTTGCTTCAGAGGAGCAGCTAAACTTAGGGAGGATATTATTAGTTTCACCTGGTGTAGGTGGTGGCAACATAACTTCTCAGTGCATGAAGTCTGGAGTGATGACATAGATGATCCCAGCAAGAGCAGAGTAACTGAAGGCAGACACCAGCAAGATGTGTGACATATCTAGGGCACCCTCCTGATGAATATAGGAACAGATATAGGCCATTCAGCCCCTTGAACCAATCTTGTTCCACCATTCAATGAGATCATGACTGATCTAATTTCATATGGCCTAACTCCATATACCTGCCTTTGGCCTATATCCCTTCATATCTTTGCTTAACAAAAAATTATCTCAGATTTAAAATGAGTAATTGATCCAGCATCCACTACCATTTGTGGAAGAGTTCCAAATATCTACGCCCTTTGTGTGTAGAAGTGTTTCCTCACATTTCTCCTGAATGGACTGATCCTTATTTTCAGACAATATTTTACTCCCTTCAAGGCAAATATATCCTTCCTAAGGTGTGATGCCTAGTTTTGCTTACAGTAAGTGGGGTCTAACCAGGGTATTGTGTAACTGCAGCATAACTTCTGTATCCTTGTAATCCAGTTCTCTAGATATAAAGAGCAGCATTCCATTAGCTTTCTTGATTATTTTCTGTACATGTTTGTGACATATTAAAGATCCATGCACCTGAACCCCCAAGTTCTTTGGACATCCACTGTAATTAACTTCATACCATCTAGAAAGTACCCTGATCTATCATTTATTGGTCCAAAATTGATAATCTCACACTTGCTTCCTCACACCAGCTTCAACCTGCAGCAGTTTTGCCCATTCGTTTTGTAATATTATGCTATTACCTACACTGTCTACAAAGTCGTCTAACTTTGTGTCTTCAGCAAATTTGGGTGTATGACTTGTGATTTGTGTCAGTCACTTCAGAAAAGATTGGGACCTTACCAACCTCCATTCCATAGTTAGCAGTGAAACCTAGTTGTGAAAATACTGATGCTTACCATGGAAGTGACTGATGCAACACTGCATCCAACCCTCAGAAAGAGGAAAGAACCTGAAGAGAGAATTGCAAAAACATAATATACAACGTATCTCCTCTGTAGTTTTAACAATGCTGCTTCCACTATTGCTCTTATTGGGATCAAGTATATCTGTACTGCCTAAGGAATGAATCTAAGATATTCCTGACCCA